TCCTTGGTCCTGTCTTATTTACATTGTTCATAAATGATTTGCCATCATGTCTCACGGACAGATCTCTACTTGCAGATGATATGAATTCAATGATTCTGATTGTGCATCTCTACCGGATGATATAATTAAAGTACTTCCCTGGTGTACAACCTGGGAATTGGATCTTAACTTGAAGAAATGTTCTGTGACACTAAAAACGAAGCCCTGCGTGTTTAATTACATGATTTTTGATTGTGTTTTAAACCGTGTTTCCACCCAGAAAGATCTTGGTATTTTCATAGATAGCAGACTGAATTTTGTCAGTAGGTTAACCGTATGATTGGTTTAGTGTGGCGACATTTTAGATACTGTAAAAATAAACATGTACTTCGAACTTACATTGCTCTGTTATCAGACCGCAACTGGAATTTGTACTGTAGTTTTTAACTCAATTTCTCAATCACAATCTAATCGACTCGAAAGACTACAAAGACTTTATTTGTTGTTTATGTCCAAGGTCCTTCATAACAATCAAGGTGATGTTACAGATTAACATATCCACAGCAAGTGCAATGTAACCATTGCTAATCCATTTAGCTTGCATGTTCCAGAACATCGGACTAGATCAGCTGCCAAACACATGCATGTTCCCAGGAGCCGAGTTGACGTTACCAAACAAGGTTTTGTTTCCAGGATTTCATCTCCGTACAACCGACCTCATGGATCATGCGATGTGTTTGGGGCACTCATATTAAACTGCTTTCGAAGACAGATTTATAGATGTCGATATTCAGCAGTTATCACTTAATTAGTTCTGAAAATCTACAGCGCAGCTGCTGGTCAGTTACATCATCAAGATAATGGTCTATGCTAACATCATCAAAAACATTAATGTCGATTTTTATTTGATTGAAAATTTTAGTTGAACTCTCATTTTTTAACTATAACTTGAATTTGGTTGTTGGTTGGGGTGTTAAGGTGGATGGGTGTTTGTCGGTCTGTCTGTTGTCGGTCTTGCTGTCTGCTGGGCTGTCGGTCTCTGTCTATTTGTCTGTCTGTTGTCGGTTTTTTAGGTGTTTGTTTGCTCGTTTGCTCGTCTTTTTTTAAGCAATTATATTTTATTTATTTTTAATTTAAATTTTTCTGTGTTATACATTTGTTTGTTGAGTTGTCCGTTTGCCTGTTTTTTTTTCTGATTTAAAATTTGCTCCATATTTTGACCGATATTAACCAAACTTTGTCAAGAGTATCAGTAGCCCAGCCCCAACATGTGACATAACCAAACTGGGCTCAAAGGTCATCATGGTCATCAAAGGTCATCAAAATGCTACTCCTTCCAGAAATTACATGGCACAATTACATGGCACAATCACGTGTCTCATGCATGAACACGAATTCTTGGCCCGCAGCTTCTGAGATATTTGTTTAGAGAACAAACGAATGTCAAAGATGTGTGTAGTACACCGAGTTCAAATGGATTTTGGTATTTTCGTTGTTCAGAAACGTAAAGTGGTTCATTAGAAAACAAGGTTTAACACGGAGAAAGGTTGCTGGGTCCAGGATACGTAAGAGATCATTCCTAGTTTTTACCATAAAAACACACCCACTTTTCTTCTGATGCATACCATGGTTTGAATCCTTGAAATGTTTGAACTCCGTTTGGCCCTTGTAAAGTTTCAACTTGTGTGGATGCTTGCATCCCATACAGCTTTTTTTTTTTCATTGTACTTCGTTTGTCTCTTGCGAAGTTTGGACTCACTGATGCATGTGATGTCAAAGCAATGTATACTTGAGACTGGAGTGAAGAAAGACAGCCACAAAAAAAGAGAGAAAAAATCTTGGGTATTCGCCAAAGGCCATTGTCATTTTGTAAAAGTGAAGAACATCTCTGTCATCTTTGTTGTGTTTTGTCAACGTCTTACATCCTCCTTCTCTCTGAAGTAACGTGCATCATCGTCTTCATCTCGCCATCTGTCCTGCCTCCGTGCCCTGGGTGATCACTCACCCGTAAAATGTTGGAGAATCAAGCAAGTCTGCGTGTTTTGTTTCACTGGCAAGTTTGGGATGGGATGGAAAGGAAAACAGTCCATTATTTTTGTAGTTTTTTTGCTGAGCCAGGGGCTACTGTACGTCAGCATGCCAAGGAATCCCTTCCGGCGACCGTGTCTTTGACGGAGAACGTCGTCTAAAAGCCAACGAAGAAAGCTCTCGTACTGTCACGGACTGCTACTCACTGCTCAAGAACATTTCAAAGCTGGACATGCGGGCTTACTTCGAGCAACAAGACCCTTTTAGGCATGACAGCACTAAGTTGCAAGACAAGTCTTTGTTTTGTTGACGTGTTGTGTTGTCTGTATACGGCAACCCAGCTGCCAATGACCGGCTAAAACTTGCCAGCACATAGGGCGGAGAACGAGGGTTTCAAAAACAGGTTAAAAGATTATTACAAATGATGCTGCATTTCAAATTTATCCTATTAAAATGTCTTACTTTTTAACATGTTTAGAATTACAACTGAAGGAGGATATAACTGCCAATTACTGTTTTTCCTTCTAAAGACAATACGGTATCAATCTTTATAGAATATAATAGTGTATCCATAACTTGGAAGTAGAACTGGAAAAAAGGAAGAAAAACTGATGACAAACTCGATACAGAATTTTGCGAACTAATAAATCAATAAACAGAGAAATATACAGAGCAATTGATCTTTAAAATGTATGATTTCAATGTTGTTTATAAGAGCGCTGTTCACGTTGATGAGGGCGCTGTTCACGTTTATGAGGGCGCTGTTCACGTCGATGAGGGCGCTGTTCACGTCGACAAGGGCGCTGTTCACGTTTACGAGGGCGCTGATCAAATTTATGAGGGCGCTGTGCACGTTAATGAGGGCGCTGTTCACGTTGATGGGGGCGCTGTTTATTTTGATGGGGCGCTGTTCATGTTGATATTTCCCTGACACAAGGCGAAACAGGCAACCAGGTGTGAAAACAATTAGAGAAACAAACAAACATATGGAACGAAATATGGAGGGAATATATGAAAGTGATACTACAGTTACTCTAACGAGGCGTACATGTTACAGGAAATGTGTAGGAAACTGTTGGAAATGATTTCCCTGTGTTTGTTGAAGGACATTGATGATGCTTGGTTTGTTGAACTTCCAGTTTCATTTCAGCTAATGAAGACTGATGGTTTCGATGTGAATGTGTCAGTGATTTATGGAGCCGAGTTGCTTAACTTATTGCTGGGGAAGGCTCATTGCTGTTCTACTGTTGTTGCAATGCTATGTGGTGGTGTTTCTGTTGGTGATGATTTTAAAAAGTATTTGAAAAAAGCCGGTTTCTTCAACACTGGTCGGCCAACCAGCGTTAAAAACTGGTACAAAAATAGCACACCAGGTGCCATGAGTTTCTAAAAAAGCATTAGTCAGATTTGACTAGAAACCAGTTAAATTTGACTAGCCATTCAGGGTAAGCTGGGTGCAACTGGAAATCAGTCGATCTGACTAGATTTTTCCAGTCAGTATTAGTGACTTGGGAAAAATAGTTATGCAAATACATGTAACTGAAATTGGAGTCAAACCCAACTACTTTTTCTAGTCATAGTATGGAACTTTGTATGTTTAACTAAATTCCTAGTCAATTTTCAATATCTAGGAAAACCAGTCAATATTTTGACTTAGTTGTTTTTAGAGCGAAAGACTGTCGTTCACTATCAGTCCAGTAAGGTTTTTCGTGATAATTTAGTAGACTTTTATGATGTGTGCAAATGTTGTATATTCCCTTTAAGACGCTTGTTTTAATGGTAGTCATGTATCATGCTATCCTGAAAGTTCTTTACCTCTTGAGACGTAGTATGGATGTAACCAACATGAATGACAAGACGATAACTCCACACTGTCTGCCTTCGATGAGTACACAACGCCAGTTATTCAAACAAAACAAACGCCAATGAAAGTGCCAGGTTTAATAGCGCGTTGTACATCAGCCCGAGGCGGGCTAGTCGCGCCGAAGTACGGCGGCCTCGCTCCGGGAGCCGCTGGCTGTTGACAGAGCAGCGGAAAATTGGTGTGAAAAGCCGCGAAATCCAAACTAATAAACCCCTTGTCCCTCGACTTCTGAGGAAAACCGACTCGTCTGTGGAGCTTACGAGTCAAACGCTACGGCGTAGCTGTGTAAACAGGGATCAGATTTTCGGTCGAAGCTTGCGCAGTAATAAACCCAGCAGTGTTTTGACGTTCAGGGTAAATCGGGTCGCAGGACTGACGCGATTAAGCAATTATATCGCCTCTGACAAGAATTACAAATTTTTCTGACACTAATATTTGAATGTTATTATTTGCATGTGTAAACAGCCGGGCTAGCGGGGCTGATTGTGACGTCACCCTGTCATGGCGGGTAACACTCAAACACTGACCAATCCATGCACTTTTCTGGCTTTTTCCAAAAGATGACAAGATTTAATTCAAATGTTTCTTATATACAAATTATACTTTTGAAGGGTTGTTTTGGTGTATCGACCCTAGCAAACAATAATAATTATTCAATATGCTGAAAGATTCTTAAAGGCCGCATGCAAAAAGTTGTAAATACAATTCTTGAAAATGAATCTTTGTGTCCCATTTAACCTTGTTTCCAATTATCGTTCTGCCATTTTAAAGAGTATTTTGGTGCCGTTTTGGTTTTTATGCTAATGAAAATTTCTATATTCATGAGCAAACGTGTGATGTCATTTCAGGCAGATACATGATTTTGTTGTCGTAAATTTTCCTTTCTTTGGTGATTCGATGATGTCTCAGTTTATGGCAGTAAGTTAGTGAGCAAAATTTTCTCACAATTGTTTCCAATAAGACAATTTTTGGGTTCACAATTTGGACACAAAACCGCTAAACTGAACAGTGTCTTCCTGAAATGACATCACAGCAACAGCGCCCTCAGTTGTCCGAAAAAGCATGGAAAATATTAAATGCTTTTAAGAAGTGCACTTTTCAATAAATGTTATCAAAAAGGGATGTCAAATAGTTTTCATACATTTAAGAGGAGTAGAAAGTTGCACAAATTAATGTATTCCAAGAAAAATTCATCTATGGGCCCTTAAACATACTCACGATTTTCTCCGTCTTACAATTCATTGTATTTTAGTCATGAAATGGTATGTTTGGCATTAATTTGTACTTTTGCATGTGCTTTGCAAAATAAATATCGCAATAATTTCAAGAGAGTCTTGTAAAGAAAATAGAAAACAAAGTTTTCTAATAATCATGTGGATTTTTTTCGTCTATTCCATCGCGCGCTAATGATAATCAACATGATCACTATATTCTGAGTACAATTAGGTTTGTTTTTGAAATAATGACATTTCCTTGTCATATCGACAAATCTAGAGTAAAAGCGAAGCTATCGAAATATCATGTTTTTTTTAATCCTTTATATATATATATATACAGTTTAATTCCAATTTCAATAAAGGCCTAGATTGGAAGTAGAGATTTCGATATTTCAGGAAATATGAAATGTTTTAAGACAATAAACAATGACTACATTATATTTCGTGGCTAGTCGTACAGTCATTCAAAGTTCTGTCAAAATATGAATGCTACGGTGAAGCTGTTGTATGTTAAGTAAAAATCACCGGCTCATCATCATAATCATCATCATCATCATTAATAATTGATTGTTACTGACTTTGGTCATATTGAGGGTAGCATCCTTTTATATACAGAACTGGTATTTTATCAGTTAGATCAACCGCTGGAATTTTGCGAGGACTTCTTTTGTCCATAAAAATATGTACTTTTGTCAATGATTGTGTGGGCACTCCATAACACAGACTTTGCTTCTTTGGCTGTGCCTCTGATTCCGATTCATCTTTATATTTATGAAGCTGAAAATGACGACGTCATGACGTCATGAAGCTTGTAACATCTTACAACCTTGCCTTGCCCCGAACACAGAGCAACATGTTACCGTCCTCGTTACGAAGGGTTCCATTCGCCACGTAATTTGTCTGAAAATAAAAAAATGAAAAACAACAAAACTGAATTAAACTTCATAATTGAGAAGCAGTGATTATGCTCAATCCATGTCTTAAAGGGCACATGAAGTGATTTTTTTCTTAGGTAAATGTTTTGTTCAACTTTCTACTCCTCTTCAATGTATATGACAAATACTTGAATTCCACTATCTATTGAAAAATGCACTTCTTTAAACACTTAAACATTTCCCTCCTTTCCGGACATCTGAGGGCGCTGTTGCTGTGATGGCATGTCAGGAAAACACTGTTCAATTTAGGAATTTTCTGTTCATTTTTGTGAACACAAAAGTTTGCTCGTTGAAAATGTTTGTGAGAAAGGGTTGCTCATTGGCTTACTGCCATGCACTGACACAACGAATCACCAAAAAAAAAGAAACTTTACGACAGCGAAATATCCAAAATTCTGACCATTTTGGTGATGAAATATCTGTAACGTTGAGGTTTCTGCCTACAAGACATCACACATTTGCTCATGAATATGGAAATTCGCATCAGCATAAAAACCAAAAAGGCACCAAGATACCCTTGAAAGTGGCAAAACGAAAATTGATTGATAAAATGGCGCACACAGGTGCATTGCCAAGGACTGCAGTAACACAAAATACATTGGCCCTTTAAGTAATGATGTAGTTACAGAGTGCATGGGAGAGTTCGCATGCCTCCTCCCCAGCTCGAGACCTGAACCTCTTAGTACACAGCCCCCCCCCCCCCGAATTTGGAGACGAAAATAGCTATCATCAATAAAGATATCCAGATTTATTAGAGGAAAGTGTGTAGAAATGTCTTACCTCCTTGAAATTGTCATCCACCCAAATTGTCCCGGAAATGATTCTCTTTTCTATAACGAAATAAAAATAAAAATGACATCAGTTAAAACAAAGCTGTTACGTCAACGAAAGATTACGAATTTAATAATCAAGATGATCAAGAACTGGTCCTGTAGTTCAGTGGTCTGTGGTTCGAGTCCCAGTCAAGTGAACTTACCTCCCTTGCTGATATAGCAGCCTTTAGGATCAATGGTCTTGCCGTCAGCGCAGTAAGCATCTTTGTAGTAATACGGCCAAACGTTGAAGTAAGCTTCGATAACCCCAGCGATTAAGTCATACGCTAAACATTAACAAATAAGACAATTCAACAAATCTGATTTATTTTAGGAAATTGAATTCGCCTGCGTGTTGTTTTGTTTTATAAATACCGTGCTGTATTTGTTGTCATTGGTTTGAGTCTCTGATATGGTTGTGATGTGGATAGTAAATTTACAATCGTCTCAATCCGACGATTTTGCAACTGGCCTTATTTTGATTGTCTGACAAACGTGGTTCGTATGATAAGTAATATGCTAGACTTGAAGTAACCATTAATATTATGATAAAAGAACAAACACACAATCACCCCAACTCCCCCCTCCCCAAAAAAGAAACCACACACACAAAAACACCCCCCCTCCAAAAAAAAAAAAAAAAAAAAAAACCAAAGCAAAAACAACAAAAAGCCCTTACCAGCCACAATTTCGAGGGTGATGTTCAGTGCCTGTCTGAGTTTGGGTGGGTTAGGAGACAGGGTCAGCTTGAATGGTGGACCTTTAAATCAATAAATAGATTCATCAATAAATCGATGGATCAATCAATCAATCAATCAATCGATCGATTAATGAACATATGGTAGAACTATAGATTGATTGATCAATCTACCGATGTTTGAATGCTCGGCAACTCATTGATCTATCGATTGATTCAATCGAAGTTGATCAAGCATTCATTCAATCAGTAGATCGATCAATTAATCTATAGTTCTATCATGTATCCATTTATCAATCACATGGGTTTAAAGACACTGCCAGATTGACCAATAAATCCATATCAGTCAATCGATCGACCAATCAATGATAACTTTTTGTCAATAATAGAGTTTAAAAGATAACGAAGACAGACGTACAAATCAATTGCTATTTATTTTGTTCAGTGTTAAGTCATCCTGGCTGAGTGTCTCAACATTACTTTTGTATATTGTAATTGAAAGTGATGTGAGAGCTGCTGCAGATTCTTACCTTGCTGTGTGCCAATATCATACAAATTCCTAAACAAATAAGTCCAACCCCCCCCCCTGCTGTGACACCCCCCCCCCAAAAAAATTATACTGGTCCGCCTGTTCAAAATACGGTGCACCATTCTGTAATCTAGTGTTAATAATCATCGAATTTGAACAGCGCCCCCTGTTGAAATATGGTACCAGCCCCCCCCCCCACCCCCCTGATATTTTGATATTTTTGCTGATGAACCCCCCCCCCCCCCCCCTGCGAAAATTCTTGGATCCGCCCCGGGTTCCCTGATCCCACTTAAATTGAAATGGAGCAATTTATAGTCGTCGGGAATTGTAAGGTCAGGCACCCAGTCTAGAAGGCTTGTACCCGTAATGTGGTAGTTTGTTTGTATGTTTTTTGATGTTTGCAAATGTTGGATATTCCCAAAATGATCAGGTTTTGATCATTGGTTTTAGGTCTACTCATTCGCATAACGGGGTAATTAAGCCAGTGCCCCCCCCCCCCCTCGGAGCTCACAGAAGCAAGAAAGAAGGCTATCATCACACCCATTGAGTAGCCTTTCCAGAAATTCATGAAACTAGTTACCCCCGAACAATTTGGGCCATAATTAAGCCATACTGGCTTCACTTTTAAAGTCTTCATCAAGGAGAAATAACTGCGAATACCATGAACATGTTTTAAGTGTTCAGAGTTAAATTTGCAACATTTCTCACGACAATAGGGATCGATGTTCAGATACAGACTGAAACATGTCCATATTTTTCCAATTAACCATTACACTGATGTTATAAAGAGTGTGGTTGGTCCAACTTACCACAATTCTCGTATTCTATATTCGGTCCTATTTTGACGATTTCTTCGTGAGATATCACGACAAATGCCACCAAAATCAGCAACCTGGTCAGAACAAACGCCATGATGCTTGCAGGTCACCCAGGGAGACACTTGTATTGCTCAGTGTTTTTGTCTGTGTTTCACTGGCGAATAAAATCTGGAGCACTTCCTGGTTGTGTTCGTGTGCGCAGCCTGAAAAGCCCCGATTTATATATAGATATGTTGCAATGCGGGAAACCCCCTCCATGTTTGTGTAGTACACAAGTCTTTTGTCAATGTTTCAGCACGGTCAAGCGGAAACCCGTTCTTTTAATTTGATGCCGACTTTTGTTTACTCGTATCTATGTTGTTCCTGTCTAAGTTTCGGTTTGATAGGATTTCAAATCCTTCTTGTATACTCGTTGTATTTAGTCATGTGATGTTCTATATTTTTTTAGCTGCGGGATACAGCAGCTCAAGCTAGTTGGTAACAAACGTTGACATGGTCTACTGTTCCTACATATTTTGACCGATTTCAACCAAATTTTGTCAAAAGTATCAGTAGCCAAGCCCCAACATGTCACATGACCAAACTGGGGTCAAAGGTCATCATTGGGTCACTGGGGTCAAAAATCTGATTTTTTTTTTTTTTACTCAAAGCACTACTTCCAGAAATTAATGTCACAATCACGTGACTCATGCATGAATACGAATTCGTTGGCCACAGCTTCCGAGATATTTCCGATCGAGCGTGTTGGTATTAGCATATTGTTTGCTTTTTGGCCGCTTTTGTCGACTTTCATTTCATAATTCGTGCTTCCAGATTTTCGCGTATTTTCTGTTTCAAATTAAGTCTGTAGGAGTCCTCATAGAAGTCAATGACGCGGAAATTTCAGAGCGGAAATAATTATTAAACAAAACAGGTACATATTGAAGGTTGCACTTGAAGACAATGTTAAATTGATGGTATAAGCTTTCATAGCTACGGCTACCTCGATCGGCTGATGAAGTAGCTGTCGCTATTCAAGCTTAAGTCATATATTTAATGTTAGTCTTTAAAGTTCTACCTTTACTAGGTACCCGTATCTAGCAGACTAACACGGCTTATGGATACATATTTGTTTTTAAAAAAGCAGGGATAAGGATGTTTTGCCCGTAATTGAAACATTTTTAGATGTTTATTTATGACCCCAACGCAGAGGGCGCCCTTTGTACATCATGACTCGAACTTTGCTGTGCGCAGAGGGCGCCCTTCCTAAACCAGGGCCGATGACCACGGACCGCGTCGCATACAAAAAAATTATGTCTTCCGTGCCGATGACTTTGAGTTTTTGTGCCAAACACAAAATTAAAAGCGTGACTGCTTAATGATGCACTCCAAGCACAAAAGTATCGTGGCCCTGAAGGGACATTACAAACCGCAAAAATATATTGCGAAAATATTTGCGATTTCGCAAATATTATCGCAGTCGTGTGATATTGCCCCTGACAAGAATTACAATTTTTTTCTGACACTAATATTTGAATGTTATTATTTGAATGTGTAAACAGCCGGGCTAGCGGGGCTGATTGTGACGTCATCCTGTCATGGCGGCTAACACTCAAACACTGACCAATCCATGCACTTTTGTGACTTTTTTCAAAAGATGAGAAGATTTTATTCAAATGTTTCTTATATACAAATTATACCCGAAATGAGAGCGCTTTCTTTTAAAGGGTTGTTATAGCAAACAATGATAATTATTTAATATGCTCAAAGATTCTCAAAATGCCCATCCAATTATTTTTGTTAAATACAATGCTTAAAAATGCACCTTTGTGTGCCATTTAACCTTATTTCCAATTATCGTTTTGCCATTTTTAATACTATTTTGGTGCCTCCTTGGTTTTGATGCTCATGAAAATTTCCGTATTTATGAGCAAAGTGTGATGTCATTTCAGGCAGAAACCTCAATGTTACAGCTACTTTAGCACCAAAAGTTGCTTGAATTTGTGATGTTTTGCTGTGTCGTAAATTTTCTTTTATTCAAATTAATGTATTCTAAGAAAAGAATCGTTCAATGGGCCCTTAAACATACTCACGGTTTTCTCCGTCTTACAATTCATTGTATTTTAGTCATGAAATGGTATGTTTGGCATTAATTTGTACTTTTGCATGTGCTTTGCAAAATAAATATCGCAATAATTTCAAGAGAGTCTTGTAAAGAAAATAGAAAACAAAGTTTTCTAATAATCATGTGGATTTTTTCGTCTATTCCATCGCGCGCTAATGATAATCAACATGATCACTTTATTCTGAGTACAATTTGTTTTTTTTTGAAATAATGACATTTCCTTGTCATACCGACAAATTTAGAGTAAAAGCGAAGCTATCGAAATATCATGTTTTTTATCCTGATTATATATATATATACAGTTTAATTCCAATTTCAATAAAGGCCTAGATTGAAAGTAGAGATTTCGATATTTCAGGAAATATGAAATGTTTTAAGACAATCAACAATGAGTAAATTAATTTAAAACAAAGTACTTAAAAATGAATGCTACAGCGAAGCTGTTGTATGTTAAAAAAAATATTTGTAGTTAATTATTTAAAGACTTTGCTTCTTTGGTTGTGCCTCTGATACCAATTCTTCTTTATATTTATGTTTCTATATTTCTTATTGCCTGTTGGAATTGGAAATAAATGTTGATGAAACGCTGAAGCTGAACATTACGACGTCATGGCGTCATGAAGCTTGTAACATCTTACAACCTTCCCTTGGCGCGAACACAGAACAACATGTTACCGTCCTCGTTACGAAGGGTTGCATTCGCCACGTAATTTGTCTGAAAATAAAAAAATAAAAAACAACAAAACTGAATTAAACTTTAAAATTGAGAAGCAGTGATTATGCTCAATCCATGTCTTAAAGGGCACATGAAGTGATTTTTCTTAGGTAAATGTTTTGTTCAACTTTCTACTCCTCTTAAATGTATATGAAAAATATTTGAATTTCACTATTTATTGAAAAATGCACTTCTTTAAACACTTAAACATTTCCCTCCTTTCCGGCATCTGAGGGCGCTGTTGCTGTGATGTCATGTCAGGAAAACACTGTTCAATTTAGGGATTTTCTGTTCATTTTTGTAAACACAAAAGTTTGCTCATTGAAAATGTTTGTGAGAAAGGGTTGCTCATTGGCTTACTGCCATGTACTGACAGAACGACGAATCACCAAAGAAAATAAACTTTACGACAGCGAAATATCCAAAATTCTGACAATGTTGGTGATGAAATATCTGTAACATTGAGGTTTCTGTCTGAAATGACATCACAGTTTTGCTCATGAATATTGAAATTTGCATCAGCATAAAACCAAAAAGGCACCAAGATACCCTTGAGAATGGCAAAACGAAAATTGATTGATAAAATGAGACACAAAGGTGCATTGCCAAGGACTGCAGTAACACAAAATACATTAGCCCTTTAAGTAATGACGTAGTTACAAATGTATGGGAGAGTTCGCATGCCCCCTCCCCAGCTCGAGACCTGTACCTCTTAGTACACAGCCCCCTCCCCGAATTTGGAGACGACAATAGATATCATAAATGAAGAGATCCAAATTTATAAGAGGAAAGTGTGTAGAAATGTCTTACCTCCTTGAAATTGTCATCAACCCAAACTGTCCAGGAAATGACTCTCTTTTCTATAACGAAATCAAAATAAAAATGACATCAGTCAAAACAAAGCCGTTACGTCAACGAAACATGACGAAAATAATAATCACTATGATTAAGCACTGGTCCTGTAGTTCAGTGGTCTGTGGTTCGAGTCCCAGTCAAGTGAACTTACCTCCTTTGCTGACATAGCAGCCTTTAGGATCAATGGTCTTGCCGTCAGCGCAGTAAGCATCTTTGTAGTAATACGGCCAAACGTTGAAGTAAGCTTCGATAACCCCAGCGATTAAGTCATAAGCTAAACATAAACAAATAAGACAATTCAACAAATCTGATTTATTTCAGGAAATTGAATTCGACTGCGTGTTGTTTTGTTTTATTATATTCCGCTCTATATTTTCTGTCATTCATTTGAGTCTCTGTTTTGGTTGTGATGTGGATAGTAAATTTACAATCTTCTCAATCCGACGATTTTGCAACTGGCCTTATATTGATTGTCTGACAAACGTGGTTCGTACGATAAGTAATATACTAAACTTGAATAACCATTATGATAAAAGAACAAACACACAAATCACCCCCAACTCCCCCCCCCCCAAAAAAAAGAAACCACCCACACAAAAACAAAACATCCCCCCCCAAAAAAAAATCCAAAGCAAAAACAACAAAAAGCCCTTACCAGCCACAATTTCGACGGTGACGTTCAGGGCCTGTCTGAGTTTGGGTGGGTTAGGAGACAGGGTCAGCTTGAATGGCGGACCTATAAATCAAAAAATAGATTCATCAATAAATCGATGGATCAATCGATCGATCGATCGATCGATTAATGGACAAATGCTAAAACTATAGAACTATAGATTGATTGATCAATCTACCGATTGTTTGAATGCTCGGCAACTCATTGATCTATCGATTTATTTAATCGAAGTTGATCAAGCATTCATTCAATCAGTAGATCGATCAATCAATCTGTAGTTCTATCATGCATCCATTTATCAATCAGATGGGTTTAAAGACACTGCCAGATTGACCAATAAATCCATATCAGTCAATCGATCGATCAATCAATGATAAGTTTTTGTCAATAATAGAGTTTAAAAGATAGTGATAAGCCGAAGACAGACGTATAAATCAAACAGTTGCTATTTGTTTCCTTAAGTGTTGAGTCATCATGGCTGAGTGTCTCAACATTACTTTTGTATTTTGTAATTGAAAGTGATGTGAGAGCTGCTGCAGATGCCTACCTTTCTGTGTGCCAATATCATACAAATTCCTAAACAAATAAGTCGAACCCCCCCCCCTCCCCTGCTGTGACACCCCCTAAAAGATTATACTGGTCCGCCTGTTAAAAATACGGTACACCATTCTGTAATCTAGTGTTAATAATCGTCAAATTTGAACAGCGCCCCCTGTTGAAATATGGTACCAGCCCCCCCCCCCCCCCTGCAACCCCCCCTGATATTCTGATATTTTTGCTGATGAACCCCCCCCCCCCCTGCGAAAATTCTTGGATCCGCCCCTGGGTTCCCTGATCCCACTTAAATTGAAATGGAGCAAGTTATAGTCGTTGGGAATTGTAAGGTCAGGCACCCAGTCTAGAAGGCTTGTACCCGTAATGTGGTAGTTTGTTTGTATGTTTGTTGATGTTTGCAAATGTTGTATATTCTCAAAATGAGCAGGTTTTGATCATTGGTTTTAGGTCTACTGATGCACATAACGGGGTAATTAAGCCAGTGCCCCCCCCCCCCCCCCCTCGGAGCTCACAGAAGCAAGAAAGAAGGCTATCATCACACCCATTGAGTAGCCTTTCCAGAAATTCATGAAACTAGTTACCCCCGAACAATTTGGACCATAATTAAGCCATACTGGCTTCACTTTTAAAGTCTTCATCAAGGAGTAATAACTGCGAATACCATGAACATGTTTTACGTGTTAAGAGTTAAATTTGCAACATTTCTCACGACAATAGGGATCGATGTTCAGATACAGACTGAAACATGTCCATATTTTTCCAATTAACCATTACACTGATGTTATAAAGAGTGTGGTTGGTCCAACTTACCACAATTCTCGTATTCTATATTCGGTCCTATTTTGACGATTTCTTCGTGAGATATCACGACAAAGGCGACCAAAATCAGCAACCTGGTCAGAACAAACGCCATGATCCTTGCAGCTCAGCGAGACACTTGTACTAAATGTTGCTCCGTGTTTTCGTCTGTGGTTCATTGGCGAGCTCACGTACGAATAATAACTGGAACACTTCCTGTTATGTTTGCGTGCGCAACACATGGAAAGCCCCAAGTAAAATGATTGTAGATTGTGCCTTTGGGAAACCCCCTAGTCTGGTTCCCAGACCTGACAATTATTCCCGACGCTCACGTCTAAATTATAGGTCAGGCAGCCTCCCTGGCTAAAAATAAACATGACGACATTGATGGCCCTTTTTCAAAGCTCGGCTTCGTTTCCGATTTCGCTTTATCACTTTTAGCTTTTAATGTTCTGATCAAATTTTTAAATAAATCACTTGCTTCGTAATATCATACAGTTATGATAATACAGTTTGATGTTTCTGTTAGATAACATTGACTAATGTTGATCTGGAATCTTCAAAATAAGGCACCCAAATAGCACTGTTAGCAGGCGGAGCCGAATGAAGACCGAGTTTTGGAAAATCTCGGTAACGGTCGTCAAATTCAAAATAGTACATGACGCAGCAAAAAGTTCGCCCATACGATCCAAGTATAATTGAAGCACAAAATCGTCGTTGAATTTCATTTTTTTTAATGAAAGCAATGAATATTAATTATCAACTCATTTTAACAAGTTTTTAATAAGCAATTAGCAGTTAATTAAACCCATATTGTACTCGGAAATACTCGGGCGCTATCCGATTGTCGACGAAATGAACTCGGCAAACTTTGGACATTCTCGAAAAAAAGGAGGAATTCCTCCCGTTTTAGTCACGTGATGTAAATTGTAATACAATGTATTACCGGAGGCTACCTTACCTAAGATTCATCAGGAATAGTCAGAATCTTTTGGCCTGGGAACCACCGAACCAGACTAGGTTTCCGCACGGTCGCGCGGAAACCCCTTCTTTTGTTTGATAGGATTTCATTTCCTTCTTGAACTCGTTGTGTCCAGTCTTGTGATGTTCCATATCTTTCTAGCTGCGGGATAGCAGCTCAATAAATCATCGTATCTCTCCGTTAGTCCGTTATAGTTAGTTAGTAACAAACGTTGACATCTTCTATTTTAACCAAACTTTGTCAGCAGTATCAGTAACCCAGCCCAACATGTCACATGACCAAACTGGGCTCAAAGGTCGTCATGTGGTCACTTGGGCAAAAAACCTGATTTTCTTTTATAACTCAAAACACTACTCCTTCCAGAAATTACATGGCACAATCACGTGACTCCTGCATGAACACGAATTCGTTGGCCCGCAGCTTCCAAGATATTTGCGATCGAGCTTGTTGGTATTAGCATATTGTTTGCTTTTTTGACTGCTTTTGTCGACTTTGTTGACGATAAAGATGTTTTGTCCATAATTGAAGCATTTTTAATCTGCTCTAGAAACTCTTTTTTTGTTCCTCTATATATTTAAGATGTTTCCCCTTTGTAAAGCGGGTTTTGTACGTGGAAGAGGTATGCGTTTGATAATATATCTCAACCCGTTCAGTGGTAAAAGAAAAGAAGACTTATTTATGGCCCCAACGCAGAGGGCGCCCTTTCTATAATATGACTCGAGCTGTGGACTCAATTCTTTGCTCTACGCAGAGGGCGCCCTTCCTAAACCAGGGCCGATGACCACGGACCGTGTCGTATAAAAAAATTAATATGTCTTCTGTGCCGATGACTTTGAGTTTTGTGCCATATGCAAAATTCAAAGCGTGACTGCTCACAGATGCAATCCAAGCACAATAGTAGCGTGGCCCTGAAGGGACATCACACATCGCAAATATCTTTGCAAATATTGGCGAAAATGTTTGCGATGTCGCAAATATTATCGTAGTCGTGTAATATCGCCCGTTGGAAGAATTACAATTTTTTTCTGACACTGATATTTGAATGTCATTATTTGAATAAGTAAACAGCCGGGCTAGCGGGGCTGATTGTGACGTCACCCAGTCATGGTGGCTAACACTCAAACACTGACCAATCCATACACTTTTCTGACTTTTTTTCAAAGATGACAATATTTAATTCAAGGATGTGTTTCTTGTTTACAAAGTTATACTTCCAAAAGAATTCACGAAATTATAGTGCTTTCTTTTTGTTTTGGTGTATAGACCCTAGCAAACAATGGTAGTAACTCAAAATGCTGAAAGATCCTAATAAGTCATATTCACGGCTTTCTTCGACTGTCAACTCATTTCATCTTAAGTCATGAAATGTTTTTTTATATTTTTTACATAAATTTGTAAATTTTGCATGTGCTTTGTAAATTTCACAATAATTTCAAGAGTGTTTTTTTTTAAAGAAATTAGAAACAAAAATTTGCTAATAATTATGTGGATTTGTTTTCTGTTTACACTGTTGATAATCAACATAATGGCAATATTCTGAGTACAACTCCTGTTAATGTATACTTAAGAAAACATGTTTTCGTCATTAATTATACCTTATGGAGACGCTGGACATTAAGGAGACATTTCAATGTCTCCTTAGTGTCACAACTCCTATTTAGAGGCAAAGTTACGTCGCAAATAGGCTAGATTGATTGCTCGTGGTCCAAAACATAAATATACCAAAATTCGTGGGGTAGGCTAAGGGAAAATGGCTTTAGGGGTAATTACAACCCTATGGAAATGTCTCCCTAAGATTACATTGTCCGTGATAATGATTACGTTTTGTCTTCGAAATAATGACATTTCAGTGTCATATCGACAAGGCTGACCCACTGTGGTCACATTACAACGTCATGACGTCATGAAGTTTAGTACGACTTCCCCCTCCACCTTGCACAGAACAACAGTTCGCCATCTTCGTTACGCAGGGTTGCATTCGCCACGTAGTAAGTCTGAAAATAAACAAACAAAAAACCAAAATTATAATAATAATACAAAAAAATTGCATAAACTTCAACATTCAGAAGCAGTGCATATAATGCTCAATTCATGTCTCAAGTAATGTCTCAAGTTCAAGAGTGTCAGTTGATAGAGTTTGCACGCCCCTCCCCAGCTCGAGGCCTTCTCCTTTTAGTGCACACCCCCCACTCAGAATTTGAAGAAGAAAAATATCAAAAATTCATATAAACAGACATAATTTATCAGAGGATGTGTGTTAAAATGCCTTACCTCCTCTAAGTTGTCGTCCACCCAAAATTTCCGAGAAATGACTCTCTTTTCTATAAAAAAAAACGAAGTTGAAATAAAAATGACATCAGATAAAACAAAGCAGATACGTCAACGAATCATAAATAATCACATTGATTAAGCATTGGTCCTGCAACTCAGTGGTCTGTGGTTCGAATCCCAGTCAAGTGAACTTACCTCCTTTGCTGATATAGCAGCCTTTAGGATCAATGGTCTTGCCGTCAGCACAGTAATCATCTTTGTAGTGATACGGCCAAACGTTGAGGTAAGCTTCGAAAACCCCAGCGATTAAGTCATAAGCTAAATATTAACAAATAAGACAATTCAGCAAATCTGATTAATTTCACGAAACTGAATTCGACTGCGTGTTATTTTGTTTTATTAATATTATATACCGTGCTATATTTTCTCTCATTCATTTGAGTCTTTGTTATGGTTGTGATGTGGATAGTAAATTTACAATCTTCTCAATCCGACGATTTTGCAACTGGCCTTATATTGATTGTCTGACAAACGTGGTTCGTATGATAAGAAATATACTAAACTTGAATAACCATTATGATAAAAGAACAAACACACAAATCACCCCCCCCCCTCAAAAAATACCCCTAAAACAAACAACAAAAGCCCTTACCAGCCACAATTTGGACGGTGACGTTCAGGGCCTGTCTGAGTTTGGGTGGGTTAGGAGACAGGGTCACCTTGAATGGCGGACCTATACATCAAATTAAGAAAAAGATCGATTAAAATAGATCAATAAAATATCCATTAAATCAGTCAGTCGGTCGGTCGGTCGATCAGTCAATTATCCATTCAATCAATCAGTATATCTATCAATTAATCGATAGATCAATAACCCATTCAATTAATCAGTAGAATCAGTTATCCATTCAATCAATCGATAGATCAATCAGTTATCCATTCAATATCGATAGATCAATCAGTTGTCCATTAAATCAATCAATCGGTCGGTCGATCTGTCGATAGATCAGTCAATTATCCATTCAATCAATCAGTAGATCGATCAATCGATCTAAAGACCTATTGTTAATCCATTTATCAATCAGATGGGTTAGGAGACACTACCGGATTGGCCTATACATCAAGATCATATCCGGAGACAGTACAGACGTATAAATCGAACAGTTGCTATTTTCTAGAGTGTTAATCATCATGGCTGAGTGTCTAAACATTACTTTTGTATTTTGTAATTCAAATTGTTGCTACAGTTGCCGCAGACTCTACCTTTCTGTTCGCAAATTAGACGGAAACTCAACATTTCTCGTCTTTCCTTTTCCTGTCATTTTCATTTTGTACAGTCCCACTTGCTACAATGCGCTCAATAAGTTATATCGTCTGTGATATCCAAGTCAGTTACCGTCTTATTTACAGGTTTATTTCTGTCCAATAACTAACTACAGAGTAGTAAAAGTCTAAGAGTTGTAAAAGCGGTTACCCTGAACATGTTTTAAGTGGTTGATCCAAAGTTGAGATGACTTCTCACGATGAATTTGGCGATCGCTGTTCCGACTAAAACAAGTTGTGAATTCTTTCCCATTACTCATTTAATGTAAGTTCTATCCCACAGAGTGTGGTTTGTCCAACTTACCACAATTCTCGTATTCTATATTCGGTCCTAATTTGACGAATTCTTCGTGAGATATCACGACAAATGCCACCAAAATCAGCAACCTGGTCAGAACAAACGCCATGATGCTTGCAGCTCAGGGAGACACTTGTACTAAATGTTGCTCCGTGTTTTCGTCTGTGGTTCATTGGCGAGCTCACATATGAATAAAAACGGGAACACTTCCTTGTTATGTTTGCTTGCACAACACATGGAAAGCCCCGATTGAAAAATAGAGGGTATATAAAAAAATACTGAAATTGCTCAATCCGTTCAAAGAATATCACCATTTTAACGCAATGGCCCTAAAACCTGTTTCGTCCAAATAAAGCACTTGATTGTGTGTTCTGACTGTTTGGAACAACAAAGAAAATGACACAGAATGCTTGTTTCAACAACTGTCAACAACTGTAGTACACAATATCTTCATTAACAACCCTGCTTAGGAAAACAGTATGATTTATAAAATCCACTTTCATTAAAAGACAACTGTGACGACGATTCTTAAAATCGCATTTTTGGACAAAAGATGTTTTGGGTCATCGTGTTTAAATGGTGGAACGGATTGAGCAATTTCAGTATTTTTTTATCTAAAAGTAGCTGATGAAATCAGCTTTCCAGTCATTATTGTTTTTGGTGCTACATATGTTTTAAATATGAAATATGTTTTTTGGGGTTTTTTTCTGACTCACCCTGTAGATTTTGCAATTGGGAAAGCCCCTCAATGTTTGTGTAGTACAATAGTGTTTTGTCGATATTTTCGCGCGGAAAAAACCCTGTGATGTTAGGTTTGAGCATATTGCTTGCTTTTTGGACCGCTTTTGTCGACTTAAATTGAATAATTCTTGTTTTCAAATTTTCATCTGATGAAGTAGCTGTTGCTATGAACGCTACGGTCATCAATTTAATGTTTTCTTTAAAGTTCTTCCTTTACTGTGTACCTGCATCTAGCAAACTCACTAAGACGACTGCATACATCTTCGTTTAAAAAAGCAGGGATAAGGATATTTTGCCCATAATTGAAGCATTTTTAGTCGGCTCCAGACTAGAAACTCTTTTTTTTTGTTCCTCTATATTTCAGACTGCTCCCTTTTGTACAGTGGATTTTCTACGTGGAAGAAGTATTCATTGATTCAATATTTCTCAACCCGTTTAGTTGTAAAAAAAAGAGACTGATTGGTGTCCCCAACGCAGAGGGCGCTTTTCTATATGAATTCGAGCTGTGGACTAAATTCTTTGCTGTACGCAGAGGGCGGCCTTCCTAAACCAGGGCCGATGACAAAATGTATAATGCCGGCCGTGCCGATGACTTTGTGTTTTGTGCAATACACAAAAACATCCCAGCTCATTGATATATTGGAAGCACAATATGCACTCCGCTTGACCTTGCGTAGGTTTTTATGCTGCTGTGGAAAAAAACGAAGTGTTATTCAGCAATTTGTTGAATAGCATATTCCAATCTGCCTACGTCAAAAAGTCTAGCAAATGAGAGACCTTTTCAAACCTTGCAGAGTCGTGGCCGTGATGACTGCAGGTCACAGGTCACGCAAAATCTATTCAATCAGAGCGTGAATTCATCAGCGTAACCCAGCGTCCTGCTTGCAGGGTGTGGGGGGGGGGGGGGGGGTATACGAGCGAAGACTTCGAACGACTCAATTCTTTGCTGTACGCAGAGGGCGCCCTAAAACCCTAAACCCTAACCAGGGCCGATGACCACGGACCGCGTCGTATATAAAAAAAAACCGAATAATATTTCTTCCGTGCCGATGACTTTGAGTTTGGTGCCATATAAAAAGCATCACTGCCCATGCATTCCAAGCACAATAGTATCGTGCCCCTAGGGCTAGGGCTAGGACAAGGGTTAGGGCTAGGGCTAGGGCTAGGGCTATGACAAGGGCTAGGACTAGGGATAGGACAAGGGTTAGGGCTAGGGCTAAGACAAGGGCTAGGGCTAGGGCTAGGGTTAGGACAAGGGTTAGGGCAAGGACTAGGACAAGGGTTAGGGCTAGGGCAAGAGCTAGGGCTATATGGACAATCCTTCTCATCTCGCGAGACTAGATTATTTTACGCTCAATGATAATCAAGCTGTCCATGTGTGAAGAGAAATTATGCAAAATGTAGCCAGGGAATAATAAAAAAAGACTAGACTCCTTAATCTTGGGATGACCGGAGGATCATGATTATTTGAGAGCCACCATCTAAGCCCCGATCTTTAACCATATACGGTGGGTTTTTTTTCGAATGAAGTCAAAAAAGGAGCTCCATATATATTCATCAGGTCAATCATCAATCATCATATCGCCACTGACAAGATTTGTTTCTGAAACTGATATTTGAATGTCATTATTTGCATGTGTAAACAGCCGGTCTAGCGGGGCTGATTGTGACGTCACCCTGTTATGGCGGCTAACACTCAAACACTGACCATTCCATGCATTTTTCTGACTTTTCAAAAAGATGACAACATTTTATTGAAGGATGTGTTTCCTTTATACAAAGTTATACTTCTAAAATAATTCACCAAATTATAGTGCTTTCTGTTTGTTTGGTGTAGGCCCTAGCAAACAATATAATTATTCAATATGCTGAAAGATTCTTTACAAGTCATGTTCACGGTTTTATCCGACTGTCAACTTATTTATCTTAGTCAAATTGTTTTTTTGTTTTTTTCATAAATGTGTATATTTTGCATGTGCTTTGCGAAATTCACAATAATTTAATGAGGGTCTTTTAAAGAAATTAGAAAAAAAACCAGTTTTCTAATAATCATGTGGATTTGGTTTCTGTTTACACTGTTGATAATCAACATAATGGCAATATTCTGAGTACAACTCCTGTTAATGTATACTTAAGAAAACATCTTGTTGGAGACGCTGGACATTAAGGAGACATTTCAATGTCTCCTTAATGTCACAACTCCTATTTAGAGGCAAAGTTACGTCGCAAATAGGCTAGATTGATTGCTCGTTGTCCAAAACATAAATATACCAAAATTCATGGGGTAGGATAAGGGAAAATGGCTTTAGGGGTAATTACAACCCTATGGAAATGTCTCACTAAGATTACATTGTCCGTGATAATGATTACGTTTGTCTTCGAAATAATGACATTTCAGTGTCCTATCGACAAGTCTGCAGTAAATGTGAACCCACTTTGGTCACATGACAACGTCATGACGTCATGAAGTTTAGTACAACTTCCCCCTCCACCTAGCACAGAACAACAGTTCGCCATCCTCATTACGCAGGGTTACATTCGCCACGTAGTAAGTCTGAAAATAAACAAACAAAAAACTAAAATTATACTAATAATAAAAAAAAAATTGCATAAACTTCAACATTCAGAAGCAGTGCATATAATGCTCAATTCATGTCTCAAGTAATGTCTCAAGTTCAAGTGTGTCAGTTGATAGAGTTTGCACGCCCCTCCCCAGCTCGAGGCCTTCTCCTTTTAGTGCACAACCCCCAACCCCCACTCAGAATTTGAAGAAGAAAAATATCAAAAATTCATATAAACAGACATAATTTATCAGAGGATGTGTGTAAAAATGCCTTACCTCCTCTACGTTGTCGTCCATCCAAAGTGTCCGAGAAATGACTCTCTTTTCTTTAAAAAAGAAACGTTGAAATAAAAATGACATCAGATAAAACAAAGCAGTTACGTCAACGAATCTTAAATAATATAATAATCACAATGATGAAGCACTGGTTCTGCAACTCAGTGGTCTGTGGTTCGAGTCCCAGTCGAGTGAACTTACCTCCCTTGCTGATATAGCAGCCTTTAGGATCAGTGGTCTTGCCGTCAGCACAGTAATCATCTTTGTAGTGATACGGCCAAACGTTGAAGTAAGCTTCGACAACCCCAGCGATTAAGTCATAAGCTAAATATTAACAAATAAGACAATTCAGCAAATCTGATTAATTTCATAGAATTGAATTCGACTGCGTGTTATTTTGTTTTATTAATATTATATCCCGTGCTATATTTTCTGTCATTCATTTGAGTCTTTGTTATGGTTGTGATGTGGATAGTAAATTTACAATCTTCTCAATCCGACGATTTTGCAACTGGCCTTATATTGATTGTCTGACAAACGTGGTTCGTATGATAAAAAATATACTAAACTTGAATAACCATTATGATAAAAGAACAAACACACAAATCACCCCCCCCTCAAAAAATACCCCTAAAACAAACAACAAAAGCACTTACCAGCCACAATTTCGAAGGTAACGTTCACGGCCTGTCTGAGTTTGGGTGGGTTAGGAGACAGGGTCACGTTGAATGGCGGACCTATAAATCAAATCAAGAAAAAGATCGATTAATATAGATCAATAAAATATCCATTTAATCAGTCAGTCTGTCGGTCGGTCGATCAGACAATTATCCATTCAATCAATCAGTAGATCTATCAATTAATCGATAGATCAATAACCCATTCAATTAATCAGTAGAATCAGTTATCCATTCAATCAATCGATAGATCAATCAGTTATCCATTCAATATCGATAGATCAATCAGCTGTCCATCAAATCAATCAATCGGTCGGTCGATCTGTCGATAGATCAGTCAATTATCCATTCAATCAATCAGTAGATCGATCAATCGATCTAAAGACCTATTGTTAATCCATTTATCAATCAGATGGGTTAGGAGACACTACCGGATTGGCCTATACATCAAGATCATATCCGGAGACAGTACAGACGTATACATCGAACAGTTGCTATTTTCTAGAGTGTTAATCATCATGGCTGAGTGTCTCAACATTACTTTTGTATTTTGTAATTCAAAGTGTTGCTACAGCTGCCGCAGATTCTACCTTTCTGTTCGCAAATTAGACGGAAACTCAACATTTCTCGTCTTTCCCCTTCCTATCATTTTCATTTTGTACAGTCCCACTTGCTACAATGCGCTCAATAATATATATCGTCTGTGATATCCAAGTCAGTTACCGTCTTATTTACAGGTTTATTTCTGTCCAGTTACTAACTACAGAGTAGTAAAAGTCAAAGAGTAGTAAAAGCGCATACCCTGAACATGTTTTAAGTGATTGATCCAAAGTTGAGATGACTTCTCACGATGAATTTGGCGATCGATGTTCCGACTTTAAAAAGTTGTCGATTTGTTGCCCATTAGTCATTTCAATAATGTAAGTTCTATCCCACAGAGTGTGGTTTGTCCAACTTACCACAATTCTCGTATTCTATCCCCGGTCCTAATTTGACGAATTCTTCGTGAGATATCACGACAAATGCCACCAAAATCAGCAACCTGGTCAGAACAAACGCCATGATGCTTGCAGCTCAGGGAGACACTTGTACTAAATGTTGCCCCGTGTTTTCGTCTGTGGTTCATTGGCGAGCTCACGTACGAATAAAAACGGGAACACTTCCTTGTTATGTTTGATTGCACAACACACGAAAAGCCCCGATTGAAATATAGAGGGTACAGTATTATTGAGAACTTCTCCCCCCCCAAAAAAAAGTTTGGGTAGCACACAAGTGTTTTGTCAACGTTTCCGCACCGTCGCGCGATCGCGCAGAAACCCCTTCTGCACTGATTCCGACATTTGATTACTCATGTCAAATTGTTCCTGTCTAAAGTATCAGTTTGATAGAATTTCATTTCCTTCATGTCATGTAAGGTTCTATATATTTGTAGCTGAGGGATAGCAGCTCAACAAATCATCGTGTCTCTCCGTTAGTTAGGTTGGTTGGTTGGTTGGTTGGTTGGTTGGTTGGTTGGTTGGTTGTTGGTTGGTTGGTTGGTTGGTTGGTTGGTTGGTTGGTTGGTTGGTTGGTTGTTGGTTGGTTGGTTGGTTGGTTGGTTGGTTGGTTGGTTGGTTGGTTTGGTTGGTTGGTTGGTTGGTTGGTTGGTTGGTTGGTTGGTTGGTTGGTTGGTTGGTTGGTTGGTTGGTTGGTTGGTTGGTTGGTGGTTGGTTGGTTCGTTGGTTGGTTGGTTCGTTGGTTCGTTGGTTGGTTGGTTGGTTGGTTGGTTGGTTCGTTGGTTCGTTGGTTCGTTGGTTCGTTGGTTCGTTGGTTCGTTGGTTGGTTGGTTCGTTGGTTCGTGAGTTAGTAACAAACGTTGACATTGTCAAATGCTCCTACATATTTTGACCGATTTCAACCAAGCTTTGTCAACACTATCAGTAGCCCAGCCCCAACATGTCACATGACCAAAATGGGGTCAAAGGTCATCATGGGGTCACTGGGGACAAAAACCTGAATTTTTTAAAACTCAAAACATTACTCCTTCCAGAAATACATGGCACAATCACGTGTCTCATGCATGAGCACGAATTCGTTGGCCTGCAGTTTCCGAGATATTTCCGATCGAGGCTTGTTGCTTTTATCATATTGTTTGCTTTTTTGACTGCTTTTGTCGACTCAGTTGTCGACGATCAAGATGTTTTGCCCATAATTGAAGTATTTTTAATCTGTTCCAGCAAGTCCTTTTTGTTCCACAATATTTTAGATTGTTTCCCAAGAAGTATGCGTTTGAATGGTTTGATAATATATCTCACTGAATTTCAACCCGTTTAGTGGGAAAAGAAAAGAGACCTATTATTTTATGTCCACAACGCAGAGGGCGCCCTTTCTATATTGTAACTTCGAATTCGCTCGTACCCCCGCCCTGCAAACATGCAGGGCGCTGGGATACGCTGATGAGCTTCACATAATCATGGAAGGAAGTGGAATGCTATTCTGGGTAATTTATCGTGACTTATATATAAAGCATCTGGCTGCAGCTGTTTAAGACCGCAGGTAGCCAATCCGCGCAAATGCAATCCGAAAACTTTCCAATAGAAATGCACACATTCTATACCGGATGTGATTTCTTTTTCATTGCGGACCACGTGGACAAGTTTTGGGCGTCGCATAATATTCAATTTGACCCATCGTGACTTACACTCAAAAACACTGACCAATCCATACACATTTCTGACTTTCTTTTCAAAGATGACAATATTTAATTCAAGGATGTGTTTCCTTTATTCAAAGTTATACTTCAAAAAGAATTTACAAACTTATAGTGCTTTCTTTTTGTGTTGGTGTATAGACCCTAGCAAACAATGGTAGTAACTCAAAATGCTGAAAGACTCATAATAAGTCATATTCACGGCTTTCTTCGACTGTCAACTCATTTCATCTTAAGTCATGAAATGTTTTTTTTAAATTTTTTACATAAATTTGTAAATTTTGCATGTGCTTTGTAAATTTCACAATAATTTCAAGAGTGTTTTTTTTTTAAAGAAATTAGAAACAAAAATTTGCTAATAATCATGTGGATTAGTTTTCTATTTACACTGTTGATAATCCACATAATGGCAATATTCTGAGTACAATTCCTGTTAATGTACACTTAAGAAAACATGTTGTCATAAATTATACCTTATGGAGACGCTGGACATTAAGGAGACACTTCAATGTCTCCTTAATGTCACAACTCTTATTTAGAGGCAAAGTTACGTCGCAAATAGGCTAGATTGATTGCTCGTGGTCCAAAACATAAATATACCAAAACTCGTGGGGTAGGATAAGGGAAAATGGCTTTAGGGGTAATTACAACCCTATGGGAATGTCTCCCTAAGATTACATTGTCCGTGATAATGATTACGTTTGTCTTCGAAATAATGACATTTCAGTGTCCTATCGACAAGTCTGCAGTAAATGTGAACCCACTTTGGTCACATGACAACGTCATGACGTCATGAAGTTTAGTACAACTTCCCCCTCCACCTTGCACAGAACAACAGTTCACCATCCTCGTTGCGCAGGGTTACATTCGCCACGTAGTAAGTCTGAAAATAAACAAACAAAAAACTAAAATTATAATAATAATAAAAAATTTTTTTCATAAACTTCAACATTCAGAAGCAGTGCATATAATGCTCAATTCATGTCTCAAGTAATGTCTCAAGTTCAAGTGTGTCAGTTGATAGAGTTTGCACGCCCCTCCCCAGCTCGAGGCCTTCTCCTTTTAGTGCACAACCCCCAACCCCCACTCAGAATTTGAAGAAGAAAAATATCAAAAATTCATATAAACAGACATAATTTATCAGAGGATGTGTGTAAAAATGCCTTACCTCCTCTACGTTGTCGTCCATCCAAAGTGTCCGAGAAATGACTCTCTTTTCTATAAAAAAGAAACGTTGAAATAAAAATGACATCAGATAAAACAAAGCAGTTACGTCAACGAATCTTAAATAATATAATAATCACAATGATGAAGCACTGGTTCTGCAACTCAGTGGTCTGTGGTTCGAATCCCAGTCAAGTGAACTTACCTCCCTTGCTGATATAGCAGCCTTTAGGATCAGTGGTCTTGCCGTCAGCACAGTAATCATCTTTGTAGTGATACGGCCAAACGTTGAAGTAAGCTTCGACAACCCCAGCGATTAAGTCATAAGCTAAATATTAACAAATAAGACAATTCAGCAAATCTGATTAATTTCATAGAATTGAATTCGACTGCGTGTTATTTTGTTTTATTAATATTATATCCCGTGCTATATTTTCTGTCATTCATTTGAGTCTTTGTTATGGTTGTGATGTGGATAGTAAATTTACAATCTTCTCAATCCGACGATTTTGCAACTGGCCTTATATTGATTGTCTGACAAACGTGGTTCGTATGATAAGAAATATACTAAACTTGAATAACCATTATGATAAAAGAACAAACACACAGATCACCCCCCCCCCTCAAAAAATACCCCTAAAACAAACAACAAAAGCACTTACCAGCCACAATTTCGAAGGTGACGTTCACGGCCTGTCTGAGTTTGGGTGGGTTAGGAGACAGGGTCACGTTGAATGGCGGACCTATCAATCAAATCAAGAAAAAGATCGATTAATATAGATCAATAAAATATCCATTTAATCAGTCAGTCAGTCGGTCGGTCGATCAGTCAATTATCCATTCAATCAATCAGTAGATCTATCAATTAATCGATAGATCAATAACCCATTCAATTAATCAGTAGAATCAGTTATCCATTCAATCAATCGATAGATCAATCAGTTATCCATTCAATATCGATAGATCAATGAGCTGTCCATCAAATCAATCAATCGGTCGGTCGATCTGTCGATAGATCAGTCAATTATCCATTCAATCAATCAGTAGATCGATAAATCGATCTATAGACCTATTGTTAATCCATTTATTAATCAGATGGGTTAGGAGACACTACCGGATTGGCCTATACATCAAGATCATATCCGGAGACAGTACAGACGTATAAATCAAACAGTTGCTATTTTCTAGAGTGTTAATCATCATGGCTGAGTGTCTAAACATTCCTTTTGTATTTTGTAATTCAAAGTGTTGCTACAGCTGCTGCAGACTCTACCTTTCTGTTCGCAAATTAGACGGAAACTCAACATTTCTCGTCTTTCCTTTTCCTGTCATTTTCTTTTTGTACAGTCCCACTTGCTACAATGCGCTCAATAAGTTATATCGTCTGTGATATCCAAGACAGTTACCGTCTTATTTACAGGTTTATTTCTGTCCAGTAACTAACTACAGAGTAGTTAAAGTCAAAGAGTAGTAAAAGCGGTTACCCTGAACATGTTTTAAGTGATTGATCCAAAGTTGAGATGACTTCTCACGATGAATTTGGCGATCGATGTTCCGACTATAAAAAGTTGTGAATTCTTTCCCATTTCATTTAATGTAAGTTCTATCCCACAGAGTGTGGTTTGTCCAACTTACCACAATTCTCGTATTCTATAATCGGTCCTAATTTGACGAATTCTTCGTGAGATATCACGACAAAGGCGACCAAAATCAGCAACCTGGTCAGAACAAACGCCATGATCCTTGCAGCTCAGGGAGACACTTGTACTAAATGTTGCCCCGTGTTTTCGTCTGTGGTTCATTGGCGAGCTCACATACGAATAAAAACGGGAACACTTCCTTGTTATGTTTGCTTGCACAACACATGGAAAGCCCCGATTTAAATATAGAGGGTATATAAAAAAATACTGAAATTGCTCAATCCGTTCAAAGAATATCACCATTTTAACGCAATGGCCCTAAAACCTGTTTCGTCCAAATAAAGCACTTGATTGTGTGTTCTGACTGTTTGGAACAACGAAGAAAATGACACAGAATGCTTGTTTCAACAACTGTCAACAACAGTACACAATATCTTCATTAACAACCCTGCTTAGGAAAACAGTATGATTTATTAAATCCACTTTCATTAAAAGACAACTGTGACGACGATTCTTAAAATCGCATTTTTGGACAAAAGATGTTTTGGGTCATTGTGTTTAAATGGTGATATTCTTTGAACGGATTTAGCAATTTCAGTATTTTTTTTATCTAAAAGTAGCTTATGAAATCAGCTTTCCAGTCATTATTATTTTTGGTGCTACATATGTTTTAAATATGAAATATGTTTTTGGGTTTTTTTTCTGACTCACCCTGTAGATTGTGCAATTGGGAAATCCCCTCAATGTTTGTGTAGTACAATAGTGTTTTGTGGATGTTTTCGCGTGGAAAACCCCTTCTTTTGATGCCGACTTTTGTTTGGATGTATCGAGTTATTCATGTCTAAGTATCGGATTCGTAGGATTTAATTTCCTTCTTGAACTCGTCGTGTTCAGTCCTGTGATGCTAAGTTTGAACATTTTGCCTGCTTTTTTGACTGCTTTTTTCAACTTAAATTGAATAATTCTTGTTTTCAAATTTTCTTCTGATGAAGTAGCTGTAGCTATGAACGCTACGGTCATCAATTTAATGCTATCTTTAAAGTTCTTCCTGTACTGTGTACCTGCATCTAGCAGACTCACTAAAACGACTGTATACATCTTCGTTAAAAAAAGCAGGGATAAGGATGTTTTGCCCATAATTGAAGCATTTTTAGTCGGCTCCAGACTAGAAACTCTTTTTTTGTTCCTCTATATTTCAGACTGTTCCCCGTTGTAAAGTGGTTTTTCTACGTGGAAGAAGTATTCATTTGATACTCTCAACCCATTTAGTTGTATTTATGTCCCTAACGCGGAGGGCGCCCTTTCTATATCATGATTCGAGCTGTGGACTAAATTCTTTGCTGTACGCAGAGGGCGGCCTTCCTAAACCAGGGCCGATGACAAAATGTATAATGCCGGCCGTGCCGATGACTTTTGAGTTTTGTGCAATACACAAAAACACCCCTGCTCATTGATGCATTGGAAACACAATATATGCACCCCGCTTGACCTTGCGTAGGTTTTTATGCTGCTGTGGAAAAAAACGAAGTGTTATTCAGCAATTTGTTGAATAGCATTCCAATCTGCCTACGTCAAAAAGTCTAGCAAATGAGAAACCTTTTTAAACCTTGCAGAGTCGTGGCCGTGATGACTGCAGGTCACAGGTCACGCAAAATCTATCCAATCAGAGCGTGAATTCATCAGCGTATCCCAGCGTCCTGTTTGCAAGGCGGGGGGTATACGCACTGATCTCTATTTAAAGACTGGATAGCGGATATGCATACAACATTCACACAGTAGACTTTACATATTGACCAATTCGCCCCCGGTCTCACGAAGATGGCCGCGTACCATACGAACGTTCTACGCGTAAATACGCGCGCGTTGTATCAACAGTTGACGCGCATTTTGGTCACGTACACATATTATGATGTTCTAAAAGGAACACATTTCCGTAGTGATTATTATTTCAAAAACGCCGAAAAAGTGATTTGCGGCATTATAAAAGTAACCACTACGTTAGAAAAATTGTAGTAAACCTTGGTCAGTTGGTCAGTGGTGGTGGCCAAAATATAAGTCAAGTGAGCCGCGACGTTACAAAAGAAATCAAGCTGTCTATAAAGACGACAACTTGTCCTTTGTAGATCACCAGCCGGTCTCACCAATATGGCGTCAAATTCGTACATTGTGCGGCTCTTTATTAGCTATCCAGTGTTTATATAGAGATCAGTGGGTATACGAGAGAAGACTTCGAACGACTCAAATCTTTGCTGTACGCAGAGGGCGCCCTAAAACCCTAAACCCTAACCAGGGCCGATGACCACGGACCGCGTCGTATACAAAAAACGAATAATATGTCTTCCGTGCCGATGACTTTGACTTTTGTGCCATATAAAAAGCATCACTGCCCATGCATTCCAAGCACAATAGTATCGTGCCCATAGGGCTAGGGCTAGGACAAGGGTTAGGGCTAGGGCTAGGACAAGGATTAGGGCTAGGGCTAGGGCTAGGGTTAGTGCTAGGACTATGTGGACAATCCTTCTTTATATCTCGCGAGACTTGATTATTTTGCGCTCAATGATTATCAAGCTGTCCATGTGTGAAGAAAAATAATGCCAAATGTAGCCAGGGAATAATAATAAAAAGACTAGACTCCTTAATGTTGGGATGACCGGATGATCATGATTATTTGAGAGCCGCCATCTAAGCCCCGCCCTTCTTAACCATATACGGTGTTTGTTTTTTTCCGAATGAAGTCAAAAAAAGGAGCTCCATATATATTCATCAGGTCAATCATCAATCATCATATCGCCACTGACAAGATTTTATTTCTGAAACTGATATTTGAATGTTATTATTTGCATGTGTAAACAGCCGGGCTAGCGGGGCTGATTGTGACGTCATCCTGTCATGGCGGCTAACACTCAAACACTGACCAATCCATGCACTTTTCTGACTTTTCAAAGAGATGAGAACATTTTATTCAAGGATGTGTTTCCTTTATACAAAGTTTTACTTCCAAAAGAACTCACGAAATTATAGTGCTTTCTTTTTGTTTTGGTGTATAGACCCTAGCAAACAATGGTAGTAACTCAAAATGCTGAAAGATTCCTAATAAGTCATATTCACGGCTTTCTTCGACTGTCAGCTCATTTCATCTTAAGTCATGAAATGTTTTTTTTTATTTTTTACATAAATTTGTAAATTTTGCATGTGCTTTGTAAAGTTCACAATAATTTCAAGAGTGTTTTTTTTTTAAAGAAATTAGAAACAAAAATTTGCTAATAATCATGTGGATTAGTTTTCTGTTTACACTGTTGATAATCAACATAATGGCAATATTCTGAGTACAATTCCTGTTAATGTATACTTAAGAAAACATGTTGTCATAAATTATACCTTAGGGAGACGCTGGGAATTAAGGAGACATTTCAATGTCTCCTTAACGTCACAACTCTTATTTAGAGGCAAAGTTACGTCGCAAATAGGCTAGATCGATTGCTCGTGGTCCAAAACATAAATATACCAAAATTCGTGGGGTAGGATAAGGGAAAGTGGCTTTAGGGGTAATTACAACCCTATGGAAATGTCTCACTAAGATTACATTTTCCGTGATAATGATTACGTTTAATTGTCTTTGAAATAATGACATTTTAGTGTCATATCGACAAGGCTGCAGTAAATGTGAACCCACTATGGTCACATGACAACGTCATGACGTCATGAAGCTAACTACAACTTCCCCCTCCACCTAGCACAGACCAACAGTTCGCCATCCTGGTTACGCAGGGTTCCATTCGCCACGTAGTAAGTCTGAAAATAAATAAGAAAAAAAAAACTTTCATTAAAATTTCACACTTCAGAAGCAGTGCATATAATGCTCAATTCATGTCTCAAGTAATGTCCCAAGTTAAAGAGTGTCAGTTGATAGAGTTCGCACACCCCTCCCCAGCTCGAGGCCTAATCTTTTTAGTGCACAGCCCCTCCCCCCACTCACTAAGAATTTGAAGAAGAAAACTATCCCAAAAAAAAACAGAAATAAATTGATCAGATGATTGTGTGTAAAAAGGCCTTACCCCCTTGAAGATGTCGTCCACCCAAACTGTCCCAGAAATGACTTTCTTTTCTATAAAAACGAAGTTTAAATAAAAATGACATCAGATAAAACAAAGCAGTTACGTCAACGAATCATAAATAATATAATAATCACGATGATAAAGTACTGGTCCTGCAACTCAGTGGTCTGTGGTTCGAGTCCCAGTCAAGTGAACTTACCTCCTTTGCTGACATAGCAGCCTTTAGGATCAATGGTCTTGCCGTCAGCGCAGTAAGCATCTTTGTAGTAATACGGCCAAACGTTGAAGTAAGCTTCGAAAACCCCAGCGATTAAGTCATAAGCTAAACATAAATAAATAAGACAATTCACTAAATCTGATTAATTTCAGGAAATTGAATTCGACTGCGTGTTATTTTGTTTTATTAATATTATATACCCTGCTATATTTTCTGTCATTCATTGAAGTCTCTGTTTTGGTTGTGATGTGAATAGTAAATTTACAATCTTCTCAATCCGACGGTTTTGCAACTGGCCTTATATTGATTGTCTGACAAACGTGGTTCGTATGGTAAGTAATATACTAAACTTGAATAACCATTATGATAAAAGAACAAACACACGAATCAACCCCCCCTCTAAAAATACCCCTAAAACAAACAACAAAAGCCCTTACCAGCCACAACTTCGAAGGTGAAGTTCAGGGCCTGTCTGAGTTTGGGTGGGTTAGGAGACAGGGTCAGATTGAATGGCGGACCTATAAATCAAATCAAGAAAAAGATCGATTAATATAGATCAATAAAATATCCATTTTATCAGTCAGTCGGTCGGTCGGTCAATCGGTCGATCATTCAATTATCCATTCAATCAATCAGTGGATCTATCAATTAATCGATAGATCAATAACCCATTCAATTAATCAGTAGAATCAGTTATCCATTCAATCAATCGATAGATCAATTAGTTATCCATCAATATCAATAGATCAATCAGTTATCCATTCAATATCGATAGATCGATTAGTAGATCTATCAATTAATCGATAGATCAATAACCCATTCAATTAATCAGTAGAGCAATCAGTTATCCATTCAATCAATCGATATCTCAATCAGTTATCCATTCAATATCGATAGATGAATCAGTTGTCCATTAAATCAATCAATCGGTCGGTCGATCTGTCGATAGATCAGTCAACTATCCATTTAATCAATCAGTAGATCGATCAATCGATCTATGGACCTATTTTTAATCCATTTATCAATCAGATGGGTTAGGAGACACTACCGGATTGGCCTATACATCAAGATCATATCCGGAGACAGTACAGACGTATAAATCGAACAGTTGCTATTTCCTAGAGTGTTAATCATCATGGCTGAGTGTCTAAACATTCCTTTTGTATTTTGTAATTCAAATTGTTGCTACAGCTGCCGCAGACTCTACCTTTCTGTTCGCAAATTAGACGGAAACTCAACATTTCTCGTCTTTCCTTTTCCTGTCATTTTCATTTTGTACAGTCCCACTTGCTACAATGCTCTCAATAAGTTATATCGTCTGTGATATCCAAGTCAGTTACCGTCTTATTTACAGGTTTACTTCTGTTTAATAACTAACTACAGAGTAGTAAAAGTCAAAGAGTAGTAAAAGCGGTTACCCTGAACATGTTTTTTAGTGATTGATCCAAAGTTGAGATGACTTCTCACGATAAATTTGGCGATCGATGTTCCGACTATAACAAGTTGTGAATTCTTTCCCATTACTTATTTAATGTACGTTCTATCCCACAGAGTGCGGTTTGTCCAACTTACCACAATTCTCGTATTCTATATTCGGTCCTACACTGATGATTTCTTCGTGAGATATCACGACAAATGCGACCAACATAAGCAACCTGGTCAGACCAAACGCCATGATGCTTGCAGCTCAGGAAGACACTTGTGCTAAATGTTGCTCCGTGTTTTCGTCTGTGGTTCAATGGTGAGCTGACTTACCAATACAAATGGGTAGACTTCCTGGTTATATTTGTGTGCGCAACACATGCAAAGCTCCGAGTGAAATAGAAATTGTGCAATTGGGACGTGAATGTTTGTGTAGTACACAAGTGTTTTGTCCATGTTTCTGCACGATCGCGCGGAACCCCTTCCTTTGGTGCCGACACTTGCTTATTCGTGTCAAGTTGATCCTATCTAAGTATCGGTTTGATAGGATTTCATTTCCTTCTTGAACTCGTTGTGTTCAGTCATGTGATGTTCCATATCTATCTAGCTGCGGGATAGCAGCTCAATAAATGATCATATCTCTCCGTTATTCCGTTATAGTAAGTAACAAACGTTGACATTGTCTATTGCTGCATACATACTTTGACCGATTTCAACCAAACTTTGTCAAAAGTATCAGTAGCCCAGCCCCAACATACCACATGACCAAATTGGGGTCAAAGGTCATCATGTGGTCACTGGGGCCAAAAACCTGGGTTTTTTTTAAACTCAAAACACTACTTTCAGAAATAACATGGCACAATCACGTGTCTCATGCATGAACACGAATTCGTTGGCCCGCAGCTTCCGAGATATTTCCGATCCAGGCTTGTTGGTTTTATCATATTGTTTGCTTTTTTGACTGCTTTTGTCGACTCAGTTGTCGACGATCAAGATGAGTTTTGTCCATGAATTGAAGTATTTTTAATCTGTTCCAGAAAGTCTGTTTTGTTCCACAATATTTCAGATTGTTTCCCAAGAAGTATGCGTTTGAATGGTTTGATTATCTCATTGAATTTCAACCCGTTTAGTGGGAAAAGAAAAGAGACTTATTATTTTATGTCCACAACGCAGAGGGCGCCTTTTCTATATCGTAACTTCGAATTCGCTCGTACCCCCGCCCTGCAAACATGCAGGGCGCTGGGATACGCTGATGAGCTTCACATAATCATGGAAGGAAGTGGAATGCTATTCTGGGTAATTTATCGTGACTTATATATAAAGCATCTGGCTGCAGCTGTTTAAGCCCGCAGGTAGCCAATCCGCGCAAATGCAATCCGAAAACTTTCCAATAGAAATGCACACATTCTATACCGGATGTGATTTCTTTTTCATTGCGGACCACGTGGACAAGTTTTGAGCGTCGCATAATATTCAATTTGACCCATCGTGACTAACACTCAAAAACACTGACCAATCCATACACATTTCTGACTTTCTTTTCAAAGATGACAATATTTAATTCAAGGATGTGTTTCCTTTATTCAAAGTTATACTTCCAAAAGAATTCACGAAATTATAGTGCTTTCTTTTTGTTTTGGTGTATAGACCCTAGCAAACAATGGTAGTAACTCAAAATGCTGAAAGATTCCTAATAAGTCATATTCACGGCTTTCTTCGACTGTCAACTCATTTCATCTTAAGTCATGAAATGTTTTCTTTTTAAATTTTTACATAATTTTGTATATTTTGCATGTGCTTTGCGAATTACACAATAATTTCATGAGGGTCTTTTAGAGAAATTAGACAAAAAACAGTTTGCTAATAATCATGTGGATTAGTTTTCTGTTTACACTGTTGATAATCAACATAATGGCAATATTCTGAGTACAACTCCTGTTAATGTATACTTAAGAAAACATGTTGTCATAAATTATACCTTAGGGAGACGCTGGGAATTAAGGAGACACTTCAATGTCTCCTTAATGTCACAACTCCTATTTAGAGGCAAAGTTACGTCGCAAATAGGCTAGATTGATTGCTCGTGGTCCAAAACATAAATATACCAAAATTCGTTGGGTAGGATAAGGGAATATGGCTTTAGGGGTAATTACAACCCTATGGAAATGTCTCCCTAAGATTACATTTTCCGTGATAATGATTACGTTTTGTCTTCGAAATAATGACATTTCAGTGTCATATCGACAAGTCTGCAGTAAATGTGAACCCACTATGGTCACATGACAACGTCATGACGTCATGAAGCTTGCTACAATTTGGCCCTCACCCTAGTACAGAACAACAGTTCGCGATCCTCGTTACGCAGGGTTACATTTGCCACGTAGTAAGTCTGAAAATAAATCAGAAAAAAAACCTTGCATAAATTTCACACTTCAGAAGCAGTGCATATAATGCTCAATTCAGGTCTCAAGTAATGTCTCAAGTTCAAGAGTGTCAGTTGATAGAGTTCGCACGCCCCTCCCCAGCTTGAGGCCTACTCTTTTTAGTGCACAGCCCCTCCCCCTACACACTCAGAATTTGAAGACGAAAACTATCAAAAATAAACAGACATAAATTGATTACAGGATTGTGTGTAACAAGGCCTTACCTCCTTGAAGTTGTCGTCCACCCAAATTGTCTTGGTAATGACTCTCGTTTCTATAAAAACGAAGTTTAAATAAAAATGACATCAGATAAAACAAAGCAGTTACGTCAACGAAGTATAAATAATATAATAATCACGATGATTAGGAACTGGTCCTGCAACTCAGTGGTCTGTGGTTCGAGTCCCAGTCAAGTGAACTTACCTCCCTTGCTGATATAGCAGCCTTTAGGATCCATGGTCTTGGCGTCAGCGCAGTAATCATCTTTGTAGTAATACGGCCAAACGTTGTAGTAAGCCTCGAAAACCCCAGCGATTAAGTCATAAGCTAAACATACACAAATAAGACAATTCACTAAATCTGATTAATTTCAGGAAATTGTGTTCGACTGCCTGTTATAGGTTTTCCCGGTTATTTTAACACTTCTGTCACACGAATTCCCTATGTCGATACTTTACCTTCGTCCCCGAACATCGCCAAGCTCAATTCTCAATTTGAATTTCAAAAAGCCACCACTAGATTTCATTTAAGCTTCAGTATAATTCAAACTGTTAGCATTTCGATTCGTCCAAAATCTTTGAAATTCGTTTCGTGAAGCAATCGGCGTTGAATTGAAAAGCAATTTTTTTTTTTGTCGTTCGTTTTAATGTTCTTGTCGTTACATTTCGTCTCTGTTGACTTTATACGTTACCATTAAAAATGTGCCCAATCTTTGGAGTTGTCTGCGCATTAATTAAATTTTATTTTCTAACAAATATTTCCTTATAAATGAAAGTATAGCTGTAAGTTTTGAGTTTTCTTTGACGATTAACATTAAAATCAGAAATTGAACTTTCACAATATGCTCTTTGCTTAGCACATAAAAATTAAGCATTAAGATCAAACACCTTCGTAATGTTGCTCTTTGATATATGTATATGAATAAAACAACAGAAATAAGGTATGTCTATCAAAGAACAACATTAAGAAGGTCTTTGAACTTAATGCTTAGTGTCCATGTCATAAGTGCATATTGTGAAATGTCAATTCCTGACTCTAATGTTCATTGTGAAATACAGAAATAAAAATTCATACCTTACAGCTAACTACTTTTATTTATACATATTAGGAAATATATGTCGAATTATCATTGTTTTAATGCGCATAATTCTTCAAATAAGTCTAAATATTGGGCGCTTTTTCTAATCGTATACGATTTAAGTCACAGGGACGAAATGTAATGACAACAACATGAAAACGAATGACAAAAAACGAATTTGCTTTGTCAATTCAACGCCGATTGCTTCACGAGACGAATTTCAAAGATTTTGGACGAATCGGAATGCTAACAATTTGAATTATACTGAAGCTTAAATGAAATCCAGTGGTGGCTTTCTGAAATTCAAATTGAGAAGTGAACTTGGCGATGATCGGGACGAAATTAAAGTCTCGATATAGGGAACTCGTGTGACACAAATGTTAAAATACCCGGAAAAACATATATTTCGTTTTATTATATACCGTGCTATATTTTCTGTCATTCATTGAAGTCTCTGTTTTGGTTGTGATCTGGATAGTAAATTTACAATCTTCTCAATCCGACGATTTTGCAACTGGCCTTATATTGATTGTCTGACAAACGTGGTTCGTATGATAAGTAATATACTAAACTTGAATAACCATTATGATAAAAGAACAAACACACGAATCACCCCCCCCCTCTAAAAATACCCCTAAAACAAACAACAAAAGCCCTAACCAGCCACAATTTCGACGGTGATGTATAGGGCCTTCCTGAGTTTGGGTGGGTTAGGAGACAGGGTCACCATAAATGGCGGACCTATAAATCAAATTGAGAAAAAGATCGATGAATATACATCAATAAAATATCCATTTAATCAGTCGGTCGGTCGGTCGGTCGGTTGATCAGTCAATTATCCATTCAATCAATCAGTATATCGATCAATTAATCGATAGATCAATAACCCATTCAATTAATCAGTAGAGCAATCAGTTATCCATTCAATCAATCAATCGATCAATCAGTTATCCATTTAATATCGATAGATCAATCAGTTGTCCATTAAATCAATCAACTGGTCGGTCGATCGTTGGATAGATCAGTCAATAATCCATTCAATCAATCAGTAGATCGATCAATTAATCGATAGATCAATAACCCATTCAATTAATCAGTAGAGCAATCAGTTATTCAAAGTGTTGCTACAGCTGCCGCAGACTCTACCTTTCTGTTCGCAAATTAGACGGAAACTCAACATTTCTCGTCTTTCCTTTTCCTGTCATTTTTATTTTGTACAGTCCCACTTGCTACATTGCGCTCAATTGTTATATCGTCTGTGATATCCAAGACAGTTACCGTCTTATTTACAGGTTTATTTCTGTCCAGTAACTAACTACAGAGTAGTAAAAGTCAAAGAGTAGTAAAAGCGGTTACCCTGAACATGTTTTAAGTGATTGATCCAAAGTTGAGATGACTTCTCACGATGAATTTGGCGATCGATGTTCCGACTATAAAAAGTTGTGAATTGTTTCCCATTTCATTTAATGTAAGTTCTATCCCACAGAGTGTGGTTCGTCCAACTTACCACAATTCTCGTATTCTATCCCCGGTCCTAATTTGACGAATTCTTCGTGAGATATCACGACAAATGCCACCAAAATCAGCAACCTGGTCAGAACAAACGCCATGATGCTTGCAGCTCAGGAAGACACTTGTGCTAAATGTTGCTCCGTGTTTTCGTCTATGGTTCATTGGCGAGCTCACGTACGAATAAAAACGGGAACACTTCCTTGTTATGTTTGATTGCACAACACATGGAAAGCCCCGATTGAAATATAGAGGTTGCAGTATTATTGAGAACCTCTCCCCCCCCCCCCCAAATGTTTGTGTAGTACACAAGTGTTTTGTCAACGTTTCCGCACCGCCGCGCGATCGCGCAGAAACCCCTTCTGCACTGATGCCGACATTTGATTACTCAAAACATTACTCCTTCCAGAAATACATGGCACAATCACGTGTCTCATGCATGAACACGAATTCGTGGCCTGCAGCTTGCGAGATATTTCCGATCGAGGCTTGTTGGTTTTATCCTATTGTTTGCTTTTTTGACTGCTTTTGTCGACTCAGTTGTCGACGATCAAGATGAGTTTTGCCCATAATTGAAGTATTTTTAATCTGTTCCAGAAAGTCCTTTTTGTTCCACAATATTTCAGATTGTTTCCCAAGAGGTATGCGTTTGAATGATTTGATTATCTCATTGAATTTCAACCCGTTTAGTGGGAAAAGAAAAGAGACTTATTATTTTATGTCCACAACGCAGAGGGCGCCTTTTTCTATATCGTAACTTCGAATTTGCTCGTACCCCCGCCCTGCAAACATGCGGGGCGCTGGGATACGCTGATGAGCTTCACATAATCATGGAAGGAAGTGGAATGCTATTCTGGGTAATTTATCGTGCCTTATATATAAAGCATCTGGCTGCAGCTGTTTAAGACCGCAGGTAGCCAATCCGCGCAAATGCAATCCGAAAACTTTCCAATAGAAATGCACACATTCTATACCGGATGTGATTTCTTTTTCATTGCGGACCACGTTGACAAGTTTTGAGCGTCGCATAATATTCAATTTGACCCATCGTGACTAACACTCAAAAACACTGACCAATCCATACACATTTCTGACTTTCTTTTCAAAGATGACAATATTTAATTCAAGGATGTGTTTCCTTTATTCAAAGTTATACTTCCAAAAGAATTCACGAAATTATAGTGCTTTCTTTTTGTTTTGGTGTATAGACCCTAGCAAACAATGGTAGTAACTCAAAATGCTGAAAGATTCCTAATAAGTCATGTTTACGGCTTTCTTCGACTGTCAACTCATTTCATCTTAAGTCATGAAATGTTTTTTTTTATTTTTTTACATAAATTTGTAAATTTTGCATGTTCTTTGTAAATTTCACAATAATTTAAAAAGTGTTTTTTTAAAGAAATAAGAAACCAAAATTTGCTAATAATCATGTGGATTAGTTTTCTGTTTACACTGTTGATAATCAACATAAAGGCAATATTCTGAGTACAACTCCTGTTAATGTATACTTAAGAAAACATTTTGTCATAAATTATACTTTATGGAGACGCTGGACATTAAGGAGATGTCTCCTTAATGTCACAACTCTTATTTAGAGGCAAAGTTACGTCGCAAATAGGCTAGATTGATTGCTCGTGGTCCAAAACATAAATATACCAAAATTCGTGGGGTAGGATAAGGGAAAATGGCTTTAGGGGTAATTACAACCCTATGGGAATGTCTCCCTAAGATGACATTGTCCGTGATAATGATTACGTTTGTCTTCGAAATAATGACATTTCAGTGTCCTATCGACAAGTCTGCAGTAAATGTGAACCCACTATGGTCACATGACAACGTCATGACGTCATGAAGTTTAGTACAACTTCCCCCTCCACCTAGCACAGAACAACAGTTCGCCATCCTCATTACGCAGGGTTAAATTCGCCACGTAGTAAGTCTGAAAATAAACAAACAAAAAACTAAAATTATACTAATAATAAAAAAAAAATTGCATAAACTTCAACATTCAGAAGCAGTGCATATAATGCTCAATTCATGTCTCAAGTAATGTCTCAAGTTCAAGTGTGTCAGTTGATAGAGTTTGCACGCCCCTCCCCAACTCGAGGCCTTCTCCTTTTAGTGCACAACCCCCAACCCCCACTCAGAATTTGAAGAAGAAAAATATCAAAAATTCATATAAACAGACATAATTTATCAGAGGATGTGTGTAAAAATGCCTTACCTCCTCTACGTTGTCGTCCATCCAAAGTGTCCGAGAAATGACTCTCTTTTCTTTAAAAAAGAAACGTTGAAATAAAAATGACATCAGATAAAACAAAGCAGTTACGTCAACGAATCTTAAATAATATAATAATCACAATGATGAAGCACTGGTTCTGCAACTCAGTGGTCTGTGGTTCGAGTCCCAGTCGAGTGAACTTACCTCCCTTGCTGATATAGCAGCCTTTAGGATCAGTGGTCTTGCCGTCAGCACAGTAATCATCTTTGTAGTGATACGGCCAAACGTTGAAGTAAGCTTCGACAACCCCAGCGATTAAGTCATAAGCTAAATATTTACAAAAAAGACAATTCAGCAAATCTGATTAATTTCATAGAATTGAATTCGACTGCGTGTTATTTTGTTTTATTAATATTATATCCCGTGCTATATTTTCTGTCATTCATTTGAGTCTTTGTTATGGTTGTGATGTGGATAGTAAATTTACAATCTTCTCAATCCGACGATTTTGCAACTGGCCTTATATTGATTGTCTGACAAACGTGGTTCGTATGATAAAAAATATACTAAACTTGAATAACCATTATGATAAAAGAACAAACACACAGATCACCCCCCCCCTCAAAAAATACCCCTAAAACAAACATCAAAAGCACTTACCAGCCACAATTTCGAAGGTGACGTTCACGGCCTGTCTGAGTTTGGGTGGGTTAGGAGACAGGGTCACGTTGAATGGCGGACCTATAAATCAAATCAAGAAAAAGATCGATTAATATAGATCAATAAAATATCCATTTAATCAGTCAGTCTGTCGGTCGGTCGATCAGACAATTATCCATTCAATCAATCAGTAGATCTATCAATTAATCGATAGATCAATAACCCATTCAATTAATCAGTAGAATCAGTTATCCATTCAATCAATCGATAGATCAATCAGTTATCCATTCAATATCGATAGATCAATCAGCTGTCCATCAAATCAATCAATCGGTCGGTCGATCTGTCGATAGATCAGTCAATTATCCATTCAATCAATCAGTAGATCGATCAATCGATCTAAAGACCTATTGTTAATCCATTTATCAATCAGATGGGTTAGGAGACACTACCGGATTGGCCTATACATCAAGATCATATCCGGAGACAGTACAGACGTATACATCGAACAGTTGCTATTTCCTAGAGTGTTAATCATCATGGCTGAGTGTCTAAACATTCCTTTTGTATTTTGTAATTCAAAGTGTTGCTACAGCTGCCGCAGACTCTACCTTTCTGTTCGCAAATTAGACGGAAACTCAACATTTCTCGTCTTTCCTTTTCCTGTCATTTTCTTTTTGTACAGTCCCACTTGCTACAATGCGCTCAATAAGTTATATCGTCTGTGATATCCAAGACAGTTACCGTCTTATTTACAGGTTTATTTCTGTCCAGTAACTAACTACAGAGTAGTAAATGTCAAAGAGTAGTAAAAGCGGTTACCCTGAACATGTTTTAAGTGATTGATCCAAAGTTGAGATGACTTCTCACGATGAATTTGGCGATCGATGTTCCGACTATAAAAAGTTGTGAATTGTTTCCCATTTCATTTAATGTAAGTTCTATCCCACAGAGTGTGGTTTGTCCAACTTACCACAATTCTCGTATTCTATAATCGGTCCTAATTTGACGAATTCTTCGTGAGATATCACGACAAAGGCGACCAAAATCAGCAACCTGGTCAGAACAAACGCCATGATCCTTGCAGCTCAGGAAGACACTTGTACTAAATGTTGCCCCGTGTTTTCGTCTGTGGTTCATTGGCGAGCTCACATACGAATAAAAACGGGAACACTTCCTTGTTATGTTTGCTTGCACAACACATGGAAAGCCCCGATTGAAATATAGAGGGTATATAAAAAAATACTGAAATTGCTCAATCCGTTCAAAGAATATCACCATTTAAACGCAATGACCCTAAAACCTGTTTCGTCCAAATAAAGCACTTGATTGTGTGTTCTGACTGTTTGGAACAATGAAGAAAATGACACAGAATGCTTTTTTCAACAACTGTCAACAACTGTAGTACACAATATCTTCATTAACAACCCTGCTTAGGAAAACAGTATGATTTATAAAATCCACTTTCATTAAAAGACAACTGTGACGACGATTCTTAAAATCGCATTTTTGGACAATAGATGTTTTGGGTCATTGTGTTTAAATGGTGATATTCTTTGAACGGATTGAGCAATTTCAGTAATTTTTTTATCTAAAAGTAGCTTATGAAATCAGCTTTCCAGTCATTATTATTTTTGGTGCTACATATGTTTTAAATATGAAATATGTTTTTGGGTTTTTTTTCTGACTCACCCTGTAGATTGTGCAATTGGGAAATCCCCTCAATGTTTGTGTAGTACAATAGTGTTTTGTCGATATTTTCGCGCGAAAAACCCCTTCTTTTGATGCCGACTTTTGTTTGGATGTATCGAGTTATTCATGTCTAAGTATCGGATTCGTAGGATTTAATTTCCTTCTTGAACTCGTCGTGTTCAGTCCTGTGATGCTAAGTTTGAACATTTTGCTTGCTTTTTTGACTGCTTTTGTCAACTTAAATTGAATAATTTTTTTTCTTCAAATTTTCATCTGATGAAGTAGCTGTAGCTATGAACGCTACGGTCATCAATTTAATGTTATCTTTAAAGTTCTTCCTGTACTGTGTACCTGCATCTAGCAGACTCACTAAAACGACTGTATACGTCTTCGTTAAAAAAAGCAGGGATAAGGATGTTTTGCCCATAATTGAAGCATTTTTAGTCGGCTCCAGACTAGAAACTCATATTTTTGGTCCTCTATACTTCAGACTGCTCCCCTTTGTAAAGTGGGTTTTCTACGTGGAAGAAGTACTCATTTGATAATCTCAACCCGTTTAGTTGTATTCATGTCCCCAACGCGGAGGGCGCCCTTTCTATTTCATGATTCGAGCTGTGCACTAAATTCCTTGCTGTACGCAGAGGGCGGCCTTGCTAAACCAGGGCCGATGACAAAATGTATAATGCCGGCCGTGCCGATGACTTTGTGTTTTGTGCAATACACAAAAACACCCCTGCTCATTGATGCATTGGAAGCACAATATGCACTCCGCTTGACCTTGCGTAGGTTTTATGCTGCTGTGGGGAAAAAAACGAAGTGTCATTCAGCAATTTGTTGAATAGCATTCCAATCTGCCTACGTCAAAAAGTCTAACCAATGAGAAATAAATTGAAATCATAAAGGAAACAAGGTCAAGACCAACAAAGAATTAGTCATGGTTGATTGTGTGTATTCGATTTTCATAATTCACTGTAAAACTGACTGTATTCAACACACACATTCGCTAACACCCCTTTGCCATTCTCGCCACATCAACCATCCATTTTTCACAGTGATATTCCCAAAATACTTCCAAGGCCTGCCGATATGTTCAACAGTAATATATTCGACAACCGACTAGCAAGGACGAGCGTTTAACAGACCAGCCACATACCGCTAGTTTCTGCACTCAATCCACGCGGCGCTATTCGGTGAGTTTGACCGGCATCATTGATCGCCGGTAGATAGGTGTCATGCAAGATCTCCGTATTCAGAGGTGAGATTAAATTCTCTTCAAAATTACTTCAAAATTTATTATGTAAGAATTTGTTTCTGTACTCTTGGTTCAGTGTTTCGCATATGCATTGATATTTATGTGGACATAATTACATTCTGTATATGCGGCTAAAACGCCGGCTATAAACCTTTGGATTTTCAGTTGAGGTTTTATGTAGATTTTGTTTTTGTATTCACAGTATAGAAGTAGTGATTTCTCGTTTTCACGTATTTCTCCCTACGGGTTTTCCTCTACACAGGGTGGTGCTACAGAAGGACACCCACTTTTGACAGCAATTTTCACCTATTTGTTTAGCATATTTCAAGAATTCAATTTAACGGTATTCAAATATAATGATCTTTAAATATAAGTGACGACAAAAAAATCATTGTCTCTGTGAGATACGATAGTTTAAAAATTTCATGTGCCAAACCTATATGTCCACGGACGGCTTTATTCCATCCGCTTGACTGAGCTACAGAGCTTGATTTGAAGACAAAACACTTCACTAGACTTTCACAGCAGTGATTTGTATTCAAATTAGTATGATAACACTATTGCGTTTTTTAAAGACTTTTTTCACCATGTATAGTTGAAGAGCTATACTACACTACATACAAAACAGTTCAAATAAGTGAAGTTAGTAGGTTAAAATTCCTGTCAAAAGTGGGTTTCCTTCTTTATAACCACCTTGTATAATTAATCCTGAAATCCAGACCAAGATTTAAATATGTTCCGGGTTCCCCGGTAATTGTTTGTAACATAATTATTCTCTGTACAAACTACACTTGATGGGTGTGAAAACGGGTACATGTAATGTTTAGGGCTAGGGCTAGGGTTAGGATTAAAGCTTTAGGGTTAGGGTTAGGTCTAGGGTTAGGATTAAAGCTATAGGGTTAGGTCTAGGTCTAGGGTTAGGGTTGGAGGTGTAGGGTTAGGGCTAGGGCTAGGGTTAGGGTTAGAGGTATAGGGTTAGGGCTAGGGCTAACGTTAGGGCCGAGGGTTAGGGCTAAGGCTTTGGGATTGTAGAAAATCCTTCTCATCTCACTAGAGTATTTTATGCTCAATGATGATGAAGCTGTCCTTGTGTGAAGAGAAATAATGCAAAATGCAGCCAGGGAATATTCAAATAGGCCTAGACTCATTCATGTTAGGAAGACCGGATGATCGTGATAATGAGAGCCATGCACCCACCATCTAAGCCCCTCCCTTTTTAACCATATATGGTGTTTTGTCAAACCAGGCCAAGAATGGAGCTCCATACAACATCAGGTCAATCATCATGGATGGTTTTAGTACTGCTAATGACCATGCCAAACCTTGCATGGACATTCAGGAGATGTGTCCTTAACTCTGATGACCCATTTAACAGGCCGGTATGGTGGCATCCATCCTGCTGTGACGAGCGTAAGTCCGTACAAACACAAACACAAGTTTATTGTTTTTATCAGTTCACGTCCAAGACCTACATGTTCTATTTGACTATTCAAAATTGATTCTGATGCGCCCTCTCACGTTGATTTTGTAGAGAGATCACTTTAACTAAAAAGTACTAAGTACCCGAGGTCGGAAATGATTAATCTCGTTCAATAGCGCCCTCTACAGGGGATTAAAAAGGAAACTCAAATGGCGCCCCCTATCTAGAATATGAAAGCCCAATTAATAAGCTCTCTTTTAGTATAAGAATCATTCAAATCGCTCATTCACTTTGCGAGTTATGGAATTTTGAAAACAAACAGTTTTAAATTTTTGTCCACGGATCTCATTCAAGATATTTCAGTAAAATGAAACCATATCGTATCATGAAAACGATATCAGAATAATCCCATAAGTCTTCGGGTAGCCAAGTAGAAGGCAAGGCGAGACTTTAAACTCTTGACATTATAAAGCATGATTTTTTTAACTTTGGAAGCAGAAGGTTTTTAAATAAAGGCTATGGTAAGTGCCAGTTATCATGGTTATGAGAGTGTTCTGATGTGTTTTTTGCTATGTGAATTGCTTTCGTTTTGCTGAAATATCACTTACCTTTATTGTGATCCGTGGACAAAATTATAAAACTGTGTTTGTGTTAAAAGTTCATATCTTAAAGAGTACATGATCGATTTGAATGTTTCCTTTGCTGAAAGAAAGCTTAATAATTGGGCTTTTACATCCTATTCTAGAAAGTGCTAAATACAGAACTTCTTTAAAAAAATAGGGGACGCCATTTGGGTTTCTCTTTGGTCATGCTTGCCAGAAACGGGAAACCGGCTGCATTATATTAAAGGAACAAATTCCAAATCCTTAGATCAAGACTAGTCTTAACTTGAACTCACAACTCGTGAATTCCTTTGCAGTTTTCGTCAACGTTTTTTTATCTGAATCTTGGCTTGACAGAGACGGTAAAACGGAGTAGCATCACACCTACGTTCATTGTCAGAACCGTTGGTCCGGATCAGTGGGAATTGGACGTGAACGTGAGCTGGGCAAGACCGGACCGATTGATGAGTATGTTTGCCTGAGTTTGATCAAAAGACCACGCAAGATCCTTAGCTTCCTTTTCACAAACAGGAGCAAATATTTCCACAGAAATAATTGTATTGTTGATTAGAAATAGTTTATGTATAATAATATTGTATTGTTGATTAGAAATAGTCTGTGGTCCAAGGACTGCGAAATCATTTTCCTTTGTTTGTTTGTTTGGTTGTTTTTTTCAAAGTGAACATTTTTACAAGCTTAATTAACTACGGGGTGAGCCAAAAAAACTGAAATAATGCAAAGAGGCCATCTCTTTTTCAAAACCAAGTTGAAGTTTTGAACTTTTTAAACCACAAGAATGACATATTAACCTTGTGCGACAAAATTAAGTTAATTGCATTTACCGTTTGTTATTTGTGAACCTTTTATCTGCGGTACCCGAGTAACGTTTATTGTCCACGAGGCATCGGAATTTTGCATAGGAGCCGAAACAGTACAATAAGACATTATAGACAACACAGATTTAGAACTGACTGAACCGTAGCTCACGGTTTATTTTTCTGTTTCACTGTTTATGTTTATGCAACAATTTCTTTGGGCTATACTACAGTTACTGTGTCCTTCATTGTTCACACAATTGCAGCTCTGCCCTCTACTTGGCAACCCTGCAAGGCAATGTATGTCTCAGCTCTAGACCTCATGGAAAGAACGGCTCTGGGGGACACATTTTGTGCCCTTATGCAATTGTTAGACGCCTCGTGGCAAAAACGTAAATCGGGTACCGCAGTAAAAAGGTTCTCAAAAGACAAACGGTAAATGCGCTTAACTCCATTTTTTCACACAGGTTACTAACGAAAATGTCATTCTTATCAGATTTAAAAAGTTCAAAACTCTTTAACTTGGTTTTGAAACAAAGTTGGCTCCTTTGCATTATTGCAGTTGTTAGACTCACCCTGTATTAGACAAAAAATGCTAGAGTACCAAAAGTACCAAAAATCAAATTACGATATTTTTCATAGACGATTTATTCTTATCATAGAGCCTGAAAGTAAAATGTCACGTGGCGAGCTTCCGGAACCCTAGATCACACGGCCCGCCTGCGAATTTGTTTTCTCCCAAACGACATCCGCATATTCATCTCTGTACGAGTACGTCTAGTTCCACTTGTCCACATGTTTTTTCGATTTTCGGAAGTGAGAGGTCAATTTTTGGCACAATATTTCTCTTGATATGGTTGATTTAAGCGGGTGATTTGTTATTTAAATCAATGTACCAAAACAATTTGCAAATTCTAGAGTTTTGGCACACAATTTTTTTTGTTCAAGTGTTCGGGAAGGGCGCCACCAGCGGTGAACTTTCAGGCTGTATTCACTCAGGGCCCGACGGTCAATGGATGAGCCACTGAACTGCGCTTTTGCTTTTATTCTTCGCAGATTTCGATGCCTATGCAGTCCAGTTAGATTACACGAAAACCGCATATGTTGCTTATTCATGTGTCGAATACCAGAATTCAGACTTCAGCTTTACAGTAAGTTATTGTTTGTCATGGAGTTTGGCTGTACTATTATTTAATCCATCAAGGTTTGTTTACTTCAGTGAAGTTTCAGTTTGTTCGAGTCATTTTATTGCCCCAGAAGCATTTGACGTTGGGGGCACTCTTTCCCTCTTCTATGGAGAGAAGGAATAATCAGCATTAATTTAAAAACAGTCGTCATACTTCTGGTGTAATTATTCAAATAAAACAAAATGCGTTGCCGCCATTGTTCTTCCCCTGACTCGACAGTGGCTTCTTATCATGACACGATTTGAAAATTGGACTGGAAAGAACTCACACGAGTCTTCCTGATCCGACTTGACTGGATACTTCACTCGATTTATTTTTAGGCTGGACATGTTGTGGCGACTTGCTTCTCCATGGTTCAGACTGCAACAACTCGACATGTCTTTGCTAAGCAATCTACCACTATTTATTTGAACTTTCATTTTCTTTTTCTTTAGGAGTTGGAGTGGATTTTGTTTGGTAATGTACCGTTTGGATCAACTCCCTACTTCATTGTAAGTAAAATATTTTAAGTTAAAATGTTCGTAAAATGATTTCAGTTTGTATTAGATTCAATTTCCATGACGAGGGTTTCGATGATAAGGATTTAACTTAAAACATTAGGTTTCTTTCCTGGATTTACAAAACTTAATTTTTTTCTCAAAAAGCCAATATTATATCTTGATGAATAAAAACTTAAAAAGGAAGGAACACGTAAATATTGATATTGCAAAACTGTCACGTCAGATTGTATTTTTTTTCTGTTGACTTCAGGATAAAATCAGTCCAGCTGATGATTCAAAGAACAAATTATTTTAATCTATTCGACAACTCCATTTTTTTCCTGTGTCTCCCTCCAGATTTACACTGCAAACAGAACTGCTGAGCTAATCAATCGAGGATCGACTGATCGTGAACTCCATCTTGCTGGTAAAAAATACAATTATAAATATATCCTATTATTACAAGATCCTTCGCTGTCTGATGGCTCTCTATCTGTCTTCTGTCTGTCTGTCTGTCGGTCGAGCTGTCTGTCAGATATCTGTGCGTCACTTTTTTTTTTGCACACAGATAATGCTCCAATTTCACTGTCCTCTGAAGTCAAGGTTGGCACGTACAGAACAGAATTATATGTTGGTTTGATTTGTTTTTTGGCTTTGAATGGTTAAATACTACACTATGCAAACACTCAAAATGTATCGCAATAACGTTCATGATGAAAAATGTGGCAAATTACCCTTTAACCGTCCACCGTACGAGTTGGTACGATATGAATATGCATTTCGAAATCTGACTCAAAAATACGTCAATTGAGGGCGCACTGATCATTTGTAAGACATCCAGCTCGTGGGTGCCGCACACAGCGCAGCATCCCGCTTTTGTTAGAAATAACGACTATTTCCATTGATTGTCACCCGGTTTATCAATCAACTTAAATTTTTGATTTTCTTTTTCCTTTTATAGTGTTACGGGGCTAGCATTCTACTGTATTCCTGCCCCTCTTGTAACGTCCCGCGGCCCGAGTTTTTGTTTAAATTCCCAACAATACCGACATGTCAAAAAATCCCGAAATTTATTCAGATATGTCCAGAACATTCCGGAGCTCGTTTTTGCCTCCCTTTATAGTGACACGGTTTGATAGGATAAACCAAATGTCTGTTTTACTATTTTTCACATTAGATTGCTACGAGAGTACTGAGAATGTATCCTTCTGCCGAACGCAAGGTGATTTTTGTTTAAAACCATTCAGTTTCATAGAGCTAGTTATCGTCAGAGAGCTAGTTTTATAGTAGTGCGCCCTCACGTGATTGATTTTGACTTCTTGGTGCGGGCGGTTCGTAATAATGCCGTGTGAGGGCGCACTACCACGAGGGTATCCACTACCGACCACAAGCGTCTTGAACTAAGACTGCTGCTCTCTTAGTCTTCATATAAGAAATCTCAACTATAAGAATTTCAATTGAATTGAACACTCCTAATATTGAATACAAAAATGGTAAGCCCTATTTATAGACAATGTTATTTTTTTTTCTTTCCAGATGTTGAAGTTGCTGGACGTCCAATTGGATTGAAAGTGGATTCACTAATCGGGACATGGCGACTAGGCGGTGTCACGCTTACAGCCAGCGTCACTGTGTCTTGGAACCCACCGGCACAGATCAATGGTGAAATGACTGGATTCGAAGTTGTGTGGTCTGTGAACGGTTCACGACTCGTACCATCAACTACAATTGATGTCCCAATGGTAATAAAATACGAATTATATCTGTCTTTGGGTGAGGCAATCTGTATTATTTCAAACCTGGGTGGAATATTTGGCTGTCTTAATCCACGGATTTTTTTTAACCTCAAGCGTACAGCAAACTTTACCAAATTGGCCTTTTGGACAAAAAGAGTTTCCTTCAACAGGTTGGAAATCTCGGAAGTACTGTTGCTCATAAGAAATTGAGTTCACGAGCACGTGAGGGGTAAATTAATTTTAAGCCCAGGATTAAAGAACTTATTTCTATAAAGATCAGTGCAAGTATAAACAAGGAAGAATAAATATTGGGTTTTGTTTTTGCAGAATTTGAGTGAATACAGCGACCCGTTGAGTTTATCCTTCAATCATTCCTTCATTGTGGATGATGTGGAAAATGAAAGTAACTTGAAAATAGAGGTGCGTATTAATTATACCTTGGAGTTTGTCACTCGGTTACTACATCAGTCTGTCTGTCTGTTAGTTTGTTGATTTATCGGTTGAACTTATATAGTCATCTGATTTATTTTAATACTCACAATTCAAATGGGTTACTTCGAAAATTTTATTACGGGAATAAATGTGCACTTGGCCAGTTTTAAACACCCTTTTTAAGACCGGTTGGAGTCTGGATGCTGATAATTACCCTCGCCTTCAGTTTTGGTAATTATCAGTATCCAGACTCCAACCGGTCTTAAACAAAGTGTTTAATATCAGCCAAGTATCATTATTCCCATTCATAAATACCTTTTCGTTCAAATAATCACACCTTTTCGGTCCAACAATTATATATTCCCAACGATTTTGTTTATTTAACTTATTTTTTTTTCGAGACACCCCTCTAGCTATGGCATGTCCAGTCTTGCGAGTGTCGTAAACAACTCCTTATGTAGATTGGTGCGCGCGCACTGGGCAGCTGTGTCGTTTTATTGTGAATTTAGAATTATGAAATACTGACTCACTGGTAGTATTGCGCATGCCTACGTGAGGATTGTGAACGCTCAACCAATAAAACAGTAAAAGACACTGTATTTCAAAGGAGTCCAAATTTCATGTCACACTGGAAAACTGTTTAAGACCAGCCAGCTGGTCTTTATCATCCGTTTAAGACCGGCCACGTGACGGGCTCTCGACCAAAAGGAATTAGTAAACTGTCTTAGGTATTTAGGAAAGACAAATATTTCCACTTTACTGTTGGTGTTCACCTTTAGGTCATCGCCACATTGTCGACAATGTGACCATACGCTGGGTGGAAAAAAAAAACTTGAAACAAACTCGCGGTTCTTCTGTTTATCTGTAGCGTCGATTATTCAGTCTGTTGGTTGGTGGTTTATCACACTCCAAGGGGCGGGGCCATGTCTCCCCCCCCCAAGAAAAAGACAATTACATGTATTTGTAATAAGTTTGTATCATAATTTTATAGCTGTTGACTTTGTTGTCTATTTTGTGCAGGTAGCGGCAAAGGTGAACCAGAGTGATGAAGTATTGGTTGGGAATGCCGCTGTGCTCAGCATCACTGTCGGTCCTGACAATTTCACTGTACCTACAGGTACCCCTGCCACCACCCCTGCCACCACACAGCCTCAAATTTGTATTCTTGTGGAGACATTTCTTTGTTCTCGTGTAGTAAAGTGTTCAATTTTGAAAGTGAAGTTTCAAAATGCTCTTATTTTAACCAGAATTAGTTTCCTTGGCTGAAATTTGAACTTAATATCCCTTTTCTAAAACTCTTCCATTTGCGACAGATCAACCCACCTTGGAAATTCCTAGTTTTTGAGTAAAACCCATATATCTATTTCGTGAAAACCTTGTGGAGACCTATTCATCTATAGAAATTGCCCTGTGGAGAGCTTTACAATGTTTTGTTCCCTATTGTGTGTGTGTCTCCACAAGGAGATTATTAAGTGAGTTGATTGGAATCGTGTACTTTGTCTCCGCAGCGGGACCACCAACAAATATCGTGCTTTATGTCGTAGTCGGAGCTGCAGCATTGTCTTCGTGTATCGTCGTTCTAGCTATCACTTGCTGCATTTGCCGCCGTAAACGAAGACCCAGACAAGATGATAAGCCCATTATTCAATTCAAACGACGTCACATGGAGTCCAACTACGTTGTAGAACCGCGTGTTCAAAGTAGGTTAACCTCCATAACTCTTTATGGTAAATGAAAGTCTTTCTTGAAAAAGAAAAAGCAGTGATAGAATTAGTTTCATATTGTGATCGGTTGAAAGTGATCGAATGGCATTTAATGGAATTTTAAACATTTAGCTTTCATTATTATTTCTTTTTAAAGGCATGACATGATTTTTACTTTGGAACATATTTTGTGCAACTTTCTACTCCTCTTTATGTGTGAAAACCATTTGACATCCCTTTTTGGTTATTTTTTTTTGGAAAAGTGCACTTCTTTAAACATTATACAATTGTCCATGATTTTCAGGACAACTGAGGGTGAAATTGATGTGATGTCATTTCAGGAAGACACTGTTCAGTTTTGGGGTTTTCTGTTGAAATTGTGAACCCAAAATTTGCTCATTGAAAACATTTGTCATTGGCTTACTGCGATACTGACACAACAACGAATAACCAAAGAAAAGAAAACTTTCAACAGCTAAGTATCTAAAATTCTTTTGTGCTAAAATAGCTGTAACATTGAGGCTTCTACCTGAAATGACATCTAACTTTTGCTCATGAATATGGAAATTGCATTACCCTAAAAACTAAACCGGCACCAAAATACCCTTAAAAATTACAATACGAAAATCAAAAATGAGCTTAAATTGGACACAAAAGTGCATTTACAAGGGCTGCATTAAAAAATACTTTACATGGCCCTTTAAGTATTATTTTATTGTTAACTTCAATTGTTTACATTTTTCTTTGCAGATAAGTAACGCCACCAAGGGTCCAGTTTAATTCTCTTTTGTTTTCCTTGTTTTTGTTTTGTTTTGTAAGGTAAAGTGGACGAATGTTTTGCCGAGGCAGAGTGTGACCGTAACGTACTAACTGAGATCAGTACAATCGCTTTGATTGGCAAGGGCAGTTTTGGTGTCGTCTACAAAGGGTTCGCTTACGGCACTGTCAATGGAAAACCAGATTACTACCCCGTTGCCATCAAGGGACTAAAAGGTAGGTCAAGGGTCATGACCTCTCTGTTAACTAGAAAGCCTAAAGGGGGCGCTATTTAAGATAACCAAAAGATCCAGAGGGCGCTTGTGATCTATGATACAGTGTATGATACAGTGATGGGATTGTGCCTTTGATGATACAAGCATGGCATCTTGCACACAGTCAGAGTATGTCATGAGAAAGATATTTGGCTATAGGGCCATCGCAGATTTGTCCTTTGAAAAAAATGTAGGTAGAATACAAGCAATGGCAGCCATTTTGAAAGTTTTTTGAAAATTGCTTGTGGTTCTACCTATATCCTTTTCGAAGGACAAATCTGCGATGGCCCTATAGCATTATATATTTTTCATGACATACTCTGACTGTGTGCCAAATGCCATGCTTGTATCATCAAAGGCACAATTCCCCCAAATATTTCCCCTATCTGCCCCACTATGTGGTTGCCCTCAACTTCCTAAATTTGATATCAAAATGACCTAAGCATAAACTTGGTGTATATTTCATTTTTATATTTTGCAGAGAATGCAGCTGCAGACATGAAGCAGAGTTTTCTGGAGGAGATTCGTTTGATGATTGATATTGGTAGACATCCTAATATCCTATCCGTTCTAGGATGTTGTACCATTGATGAACCCTACCTTCTTATCACAGAATTCATGAAGTACGGGGATCTTTTGCATTTCCTTTGGAAGACCAGAGAGGTAGTTTAGCTACTTTCAATATCCGTTTGGCCACTGAGAACAGTTCAAACAATTTCCACTTTTTCAAAGTATGAATCATGTTTTCTTCACAATTATCATAGTCCTCTTATGTTTTTTTTTATTGCCGGACAGATTAAGATGGCGGAGGTTGATCCCATGTATTGCCTGACCGAACTGAACCAGTTACAGATAGCGCGCCAAGTCACCTGTGGCATGGTAAGCATATTGACTCCATGACTTTATATCAACATCATCTTTGTCTTTGCTGATTACGTACGTAGTTATTTGTAACCGAACAGTGTGGGGTTCCTATAAACGTTGGCATCCACCTTCCATATTCGGTGAGCCTTTTCTGGGAAAGATTTCCATATACGAAGTTTACTAATTTTCCTCTGTATTGACTAACAAGCCCCCAGATAGCAATTTCATGTCATCAAAGTCAATTTGAGCAGTGAGAAAATACAAGCATTTTCTTAGAAAACACTTAGAATTGTTCAGTCCAATCTCATAGGGTTTGTACACAGGGTGTTGAGTGAACTTCGTATATGGAAATCTTTCCCTTTTCTGTTGTTTTAATTCATTAAAGGGTTCATTTGAGGACTTTTTCTGAGGAACACATTTGTGCAACATCTTACTCCCCTTAAATGTATGAAAACTATTTGACATCCCTTTTTGGTTAATTATAAAAGTGCACTTCTTTAAACATTTCAAAATGTCCATGCTTTTCCGGACAACTCAGGGCGCTGTTGCTGTAATGTCATTTCAGGAAGGTGTACAGTTTAGGGGCTTTATGTTCAAATTGTGAAACCCAAATTTGGTTTACTACCATGTCCTGCACACAACAACGAATCACCAAAGGAAAGAAAGTGACAGCAAAATAGTAGTTATATATATAGCAGTAACATTGTGGTTTCTACCCGGAATGACATCACAGTTTTTCTCACGAATATGAAAATCCGCTTCAGCATAAAAACCAAAAAGAAAAATTCACCAAAAATGCCCTTCCGAATTGGCAAAACAAAACTTGAAAAAAGGTAAAATAAGTGCATTTTCAAGGATTTTATTAAAAAAAACCTAACATTTAACAATGAGAACATAGTAGGTCTACTCGTACATTTAAATATTTCCATACGAAACAAAAAGACGCACTTTAAAGATTATCAATTTTGTTGAGATTCTTGTTTGATTTTTTATTGTTTATACAGGAATACCTATCACAGACGCGCTATTATCATGGTGACTTGGCCGCCAGGAATGTCCTAGTCGGAGATAATTTGATCGTCAAGGTGTCAGACTTCGGTTTGTCTGATGACACGTATGAGATGGGTTATAAGCGAATGGACGAAAGCAAAAAGCGTGCAGTGAAATGGGTTAGTCTGGAGACTAATACAACCAATAGATGCTCCATCAAAAGCGATGTGTAAGTTCAACTTTGCGTGCACCCTAGAGGGCGCTGTGTCAGTCGGGGTGCAACCAAGTAAATAGCCAAAATCCGCCGAGCTCATGAATAATTGCTAAACATTCAAATTAGTCTATATTAGAGAGTTCTGAGAGCCACGGAATTGGGCGTTGCACCTGTGGCCTGGACTAGGGGCTTCCAATTCGGAGCATTTTCGATGCAATTGCGTCCGGAAATGGCGATATTTAGCCATGTTGTGGAGAGATCCTTTCAAAATGGATACTTTTTCAGTTTGGGAATAATCACTCGTTTTATGGTTGGTCGTCTGTGGGTGATAATTTCTCGAAAAGTCATTGGTCAACCCACCAAATATTGAAAGGAAAATGAAATACGACATGTTGATCGTGGTTTTTCTGGGCAGATTAAAGACCTGTGAGAGTTCCGAGTATTAAAAAAAAGACTTTTGAAGTATAGTATGGGGACTTATCACTGGTGTCTATGGGAAATTATTTACTTGGTTGCATCTCTATGACCTAGTATGATTGACGCCCATTGTATTGAGCATTCGTTGATGATTTTTGACATCACTCCCATGCGAACATTATAGTCACAACCAATGCTGGTCTGAACGTCATCACGATATTTCTTGGTTTTGAATATATTCATATAAGGAAAACCTCAATGAACACTACCCTTTTATACCTCTGACGGCTTAAACTGAATTTTTTTTGTAATTTTTTTTTTAAGATGGTCTTTTGGCGTCGTACTGTATGAAATCTTCACACGTGGTGACGCACCTTATCAAGGCCTTAGCAACCAAGAAGTGGTTGAGAAACTCAAGTCAGGATATCGTATGGGCCAGCCTGACGATTGCCCATCAGATGTGTAAGTTTAATCATCATTCAATGGACTCGAGAAATTATGAAATGTCTTATTGCAGACTAATGTTATAACAGCCAATCGATCCGGCTCGCAAGTGTGACGTCATTTCAATTTAAACCACGCCCACTACAACGAAGTAGCGTTGGAACCATCCGCTTCGTTAGTGTGACGTCAGTTCAGTTTAAACCACGCCCACTGGCCATTAAGTAGCGTTGAACCGCTGGAACATGAAGTAGTGCAAAGTGGTGTGTTTAGCCAATAGGCGCTAGTAATAAGTGGTGCGTGCGCGTGTATGACGCAGTCACGCGTACGACACGGATTGGCCTACACAAGTAGAACGCACACAGGTGGGACGCGAGCACTCAACGTGCTTTCGACCAATAGGGTTACCAAAACGCGCGTGCCTCGACTTTAAGAACGCGCAAGTTCCAGCGTGGTCCTAAGTGTCTTTAGTTTATTCTCTTGGATGTAGGTATGCCATGATGCGTGAATGTTGGCATGAGAACCCATCCAAACGCCCATCGTTCACACATCTCTACAAGTCACTGGATAAGATGATGTTACGTCACTCGGATTACTTGAGTTTTGAGGAATCTGCGTCTAGCCTCAACGAACCACAAGACAAAGTAATAAACACGGATAGAACCCAGAAACATGCAAAGGACACACAACATGGAAACTTCGTAAGTTCATGTCAATTTCTATTCATTTTAAACTACCATTTTTTTTCTGTCGTGATTAAGTTGCAACAAAATGACCAAGTTTGTTTCAGGTAATATCTTTGGTAAATCGATTCAGCTATAATTAATATATTAAAATTAAGATACAGAATATGTTTTAAATACTCTTAATAAAACTGATATGGATTTTTGTAAATTGCAATCATGTAGAATCAAAATGAGTTAAGCAAGTTTGATTCCCGCCTCCTTGTCTTTTAGGAATCCTCCGAATTTTCAGGGAAATCAGATGAGTTGGAGTTGTGGCTACATTTGAAGGGCCCGCTCCCAGATGGCGATAGAACTATCGAATTCGTACCCCAGGCGGGGGAGGATTCAATCCAAAGTGACACGCCCACAAAGGGGAAGGCTGACGTTAAATTCAGAAGCTTTAAACGTGATAGGGATTGCGATGTGTTAACTGCGTGATGGCGGCACTGACTACATGGAGAAAAATCTACAAATAGTGATATTAAGAAACTTATAGTTTGAGTCATATTGTTAGATATATAATATTACGTACATACATTTTTTATTATTCAAAAGTAGATGGTGGGACGTTGGCGTTTCATCCGTAAAGAAAATATGCATTAGCTAATCAAGAAGCAATCATAGTTTCATGAATACTAAATACCTGATATAATATAAATTATTTATTTTGAAATGCGTAACCCACATTAAAGGGATATTACGGCCTGGAATTCGCCAAATTGGGCTACAAAACGCGTTTGAAACGAAATTATATTGTGTTATTCCTGCGAGAACCATGGGAGAACGGATTTCGGGGTCACAATTTTGTCCCAGAAAAATCGAGCTGTGAGTGCTAGTTGTGAATCCTGCCGCACAGTGGTTTGCATTCTGCGGACGTGTAAGAAACAACAATAGTGTATTGGTGCTGTGTGTAATTTATGTGACACACACACACACACCAATTCTCAAATTTGTATCCTTGTGGAGACATTCCTTTGTTCTCGTGTAGTAAAGTGTTCAATTTTGAAAGTGAAGTTTCAAAATGCTCTTATTTTAACCAGAATTAGTTTCCTTGGCTGAAATTTGGAATTAATATCCCTTTTCTAAAACTCTTCCATTTGCGACGGATCAACCTACCTTGGAAATTCCTAGTTTTTGAGTAAAACCCATATATCTATTTCGTGAAAACCTTGTGGAGACCTATTCATCTATAGAAATTGCCCTGTGGAGACCTTTACAATGTTTTGTTCCCTATTGTGTGTGTGTCTCCACAAGGATATAAATTTGTAGTCACACAACGTGTACATGTCCAGTTCATTGAATAGAGACGACTTGAAATACGTATGCTTATGCAACAAACTGTCCGCCGCGTCCGATGTAAACAACCGGTTTTTTCGTCTTTTCTCGGGAATGGAAAGACATTAGGTTAGTGTTCTTTCAACCAGACCTTTAAAACAGGATAAGTAAACAATCCAAAAAATGATAATTTCGGTGAGTTCTTGCCGTAATGCCCCTTTAAAGTCTCAGTATTGTTAGTAATGGATGTACTAAGAGCTTTCTTTCAAATTAGAAGTTGGTACTTATTAATTATCAACAGAAATGCATTTGCCATCCCTAATTGATGAATTCTACTCTGCAGACGCTTCACATTCCAAAATATTTCTCACTTCTAAACTGATATTTTCTTTGCGATGCAACAATAAACCTTGATGTATTTCTCTTCGATGATCGTCTCATCGAAGTTGACGACGAGCGCCCTCACCAGACGGGTCCATGTGCCGCAGGCGCACTGCGGAACGAAGCTACAGGTGGACTGGGAGCAAGACTCCTCCAGGATCCATTGCCTGTCATCATTGTCAAACTGAAATAATCAAAAAGTGGAAAGAAAGTCCAGGTTTAGATTGCGACAAATTATAAGAGTATCGACGATTTTATCAATATTTTCAGAGAAATTGGGGACTTTTTAATGTGCGACAACTTTCAGGGCGTGGATGTAGATCTACATCGAGAGAGGTTTTCTTTTTGCCGATGGAAAAACGATTGTTGAATTAATCGTGAATTATTTATAAACTTCATTTAATTGTTGATCCCCACTTTTATCGTGTTAATTTTGCAAACTTTGTCACGCGTCAAGTGTTTTTAGCTGCGGAATAGCATCTCAACAAATCATCATGTCTCTCCGTTAGTTTGTAACAAACGTTAACATTGTCTATTGCTCCTACATATTTTGACCGATTTTGACTGAACTTTGTTAAAAGTATCAGTAGCCCAGCCCCAACATGTCACATGACCCAACTGAGGTCAAAGGTCGTCATGGGGTCACTAGGGTCAAAAAGCTGATTTAATTTTACTCAAAACTTACACTACTTCCAGAAATTACATGGCTGAAATCACGTGACTCACGCATGAACACGAATTCTCGGCCCGCAGTTTCCGAGATATTTCCGATCGAGTTTGCTTTTTTAATAGTTAACGAACACATGGTGTGCAACCGTAGTTTTGAAGCCATCGCATAAATAATCGTTTTAAATGTTTGACAAAATTATTTTAAATTTGGTGAAAAATATTAAAAGTTATTAGCTTACTTGTACGACTTGTATGAGCTCATCGTCGTTTGTTAGCCTCAGTATAAGATCATCCCAAGATTGTACCCGGGGACAGATGTCGACATCTCGCTTCTGAACTGAGTTCTGGACAGGCAGATCACCCCTCTTCGTGAAATAATTACCATACATCGCCAGGATTTTCGCCTGTTGTTCTAGCGTGATTTCGATGACCCTTTGACCGTGCCTACGCGCTCCTGCCCCGGCGCTCGTCAGCCGGCTGTGCACGCTGCGGAGATAGTTACGCCGGTAGTTGACTTGTTGCTTTTGAAAATACGTCAAGTGTAACGTCTCTCGAAAGTTGATGTACGCTAAGCAGTCGGAGATGCTGCATGCTGGGTAGGCGTCTTTGGAATCACTTCCAACAAAATATTGATGATTTGCTTGAGAAATATGATGGCATAAAACAGCACTCATCACAAAAAACAACAACATGCTTCCACTTCGGTAGAATTGTTACAAAAGATGTACGTCGCCTCAAAAACGTAACTGTTGAGACCCAACGCAGGGAAAGAATGGCTGATTTGTCGGTGAGTGACATCAGTCTTCGTTTAGATGTAAGAGTCTCAAATAAACCGCAGTGCCGTTCATGAATAAATCTAATAACACGAAACCCACCTGCGGACCCTTAATACCTAACAATACTTTGCTTTAATCCGATACGAGATTAACCTTTCTCCGTCTTGTCGTGGCGAGGTGATGTTCCTTATGTGATGTTGGCATTTTCACTGTCATAAACCTTGTAAACATTGATCTCAATTTAAATTCTGTAAGCTAAAAATACATGTTTGAAGAAAATATCAATTAGAAATTGTGATGAAAACAGCTGCAGGTTGTATTAATTATCTTTTTTCTAGGATCAAATGTCCATCTATGCTCAAAAGTCAATCGCATTGTATTGTGATGAGGTGTACGATTTGCATTCTGAGACATTTTTAAGGGGTGCGATTTTTTAGTTGCGTCATGTGTTTGAAAATTATTATCCGGTTTCGATGAGTTTTGTCCGCAAAAACGCTAAGAGATACTCATTAAGATTGGATTAATGCAGTGCATTTAAAAAACAAAAAACCTTCATACGTATAGACACCCGCCCTCAACGGCAAGCATAAACCTTGTGCTTGTTGTTTGGACGTCATCCATCGCTGTGTTTGATACCGCACTCCAAACGTTGGTGGCGCTATTTTGGAAGCATACAGAGCCGACCCACTTTTTAATGCTGGTTTTGTGGTTGATGCTTTTTTCCCACGTATACGTAATCCGTATGCACATTTCAATTTTAACTTTAAACAAATAACAATATTAATTGTACTCTCCGGGTTTTTAAAAAAAATCAGAAAACCGTTTGGGCAAAAATGCGTTTATCAGCAATATATGTTAATTTTAACCGATTATTGAAGCGGCAACTATAATTATTATAAATTCAATCTTATGAAATCGCTAAATAATCCAATAATTTCTCAAAAGTTCGAAGTTTAAAGCCTTGATAAGTTTAAAATCTATAAATGCTGACAGAGTCAGTGTGCTAATCTTCTATCATACTGAGTTTTTGAAGGATTACAGCGCGCCCTGATATAACGCTCCTGTCGATATAACGCTCATTTTTCATTTCCCCGACTGCGCTCCCATTCATTGTGTACATTTTCCTTCGGTTACAGCGCTCCCATTTACATCGCTTTTCGGGATGTAGCGCTCACTATTTTAGGACCCAGGAACAATATAAAACATGTAAAATGATTCCTGTTATAACGCTATTCACCTTTAGTCCAGGCAAAATACTTCATTTTTTGAGTGAACCTCAAACAAATTGCAACAGAACTTTTTACACCACAGTGCATTCCTATAAGGTCCCTAAAAATAATGACATACTAAAAGTCCAAAAAAATCCAAGTGGTGGAAATATGCCTAATTTGCATCAATCCAAAATGGCCGAAAATTTTAGGACTTTCACATTGATTTGGTCATATTTCTTATACTCGATAGCTTTTTCAGGTACTTAAAACGACAATTGTAGTCCGTTTACATTGATTTCATAATTATTCTAGTCCTACGTAACTTTCAAGATCCCCATGTTTCCCAAATTTGCCATATGCCGTATAATAATTTGCATAAATGCAATATATTAATTTGTATAAATTAAAGTTAAAATTATGGCTGTCATGTGTGGACATGTCACAATTGAATTTTTTTGATAATCCAAGTTCAGTTATTTATACATAAATATCACACCACAGTGCATTCCTATAAGGCCCCTAAAAAAAGTCCAAAAAATCCAAGTGGTGGAAATATGCCTAATTTGCATAAATTCAAAATGGCCACTTAAACCATGATTTTCATATTGATTTTGCCATAACTCTCGTCCTACATTGCTTTTTGGGGTACTTTAAACAACAATTTGTCCTTTTACATTGATATCATCATTATGTTAGTCCTGGGTACCTTTGCCGTATAATAATCTTCCCATACAAACGGACAAACCGCCAGCACCACCATCACTACTTGAGGTCATCAGATGTGGGTGTAAGAAGCGTTCTTTCGTTTTGGACGGTTAGTCATGACGGTTCGTGACAGCTCGCCATGACGGTCGTCCTGGCAAATCACATTCCTCGCTAAAACGAAGGGGCGTGATCAATGGATCTTGGCCAATCAACTGGCTCCTCTGTACGGTAAACTTTGTTGTTCGGGAATAAAGACTTTAGATTACTATTCAAATAATTATGGAACACACACACACACCTACCCGCCAGGGACTGCCACGTCGAACGCCATGGGCGTCGCCAGGATTTTTTCTAGAGGGGGGTAATGCACATTTCGGCCCCCCCCCAAAAAAAAAACCCCCAAAAAACCAAATACCTGTACTTTTGCCAGCATATTCTCAATTTATCTTTTTTCGAGGGTGGGCATGAGGGCATCTACCCATCACTTTTTTGATGATAAAAAGTAGTAATTAAATAGTAAAGTCTGTCAGGAGCAGTGTGGCCCATTGGGCCATGGGCAGCGCCGGCATTTATCTCCGGTTTCAGAGAATATTTCTATTCCCCCTGGATGGGATGCTAGTCCATCGCAGGTTACTCCACAGCTAATGCCGGCACCCATTTATACTCCTGGTTGGAGAGAGGCAAGTGTGGATGAAGTCTGCCCTAGGACACAACATAATGGCCAGCAGCTGAATTCAAACACCTGACCCTCTCTGATCGTGAGTCACAAACCCTTACCACACTACGGCACAAAAAAGGAGTTTGATCACTGCTTGCTCAATTGGAAGTTGGTTGCTGCCTCGGCAAATAATATGGAAGACATACATAATCTAACTTTTGAAGCGCATTTCTTGTGCTGCACATGGCTACCCGAAAATAAAAACGTCAAACTTCAATTTAGAGATTGACGGAGCCTCTAAAGTCCTTGGAGTTATTGTAACACATGCCTGTCATCTAAAAATACACAAAATTATGGCTGTTTTGTCTTTGCACAGACGTAATAAAATTATATTCTGAATTATCGAAAGAACGGTTTGTGGCTAGACTGTACGAATCTTAATTTTCTGCATAAGCAATAAAATATGCTTATTTTCTTTTAAAAAAAAATGTTTTGTGGCTTTTTGGTTTTTGCAGGGCATAATAAAAGTTTGCTCTGTTATTTTTTGGTCCCATTTTAATAGTTTATAAAATTAGGCAGCTGCTGAACGGCAGAGGGAATTGCAACCGCCCCTCTAAATCTGATACTGTAGAAGGAGGCTTGTTGGAAATGAGAGGCTGCAATTATTGTCCATTTGTCTTTTGTTCTTCCCCGTTTCTACTCATGAATATTAAGTTGTGAAGACAATTTTTTTAAAGCCAGCCATCCAGTCAAAGTAATAGAAGCAGAAAAAAAGCTGCCTAATATGGGAGACGTGATCCACTTTTTTTTGGTTCACATTATGACTACTCAAAAACATAAGCAGTGTCGGTAGACTTCAATTTGGAATTTGACAGAGCCTCTGAGTCCCTGGAATTTATGTAACATATGCTTATCATCTAAAAATACATGTTTTTTATTGTGGCTTTCTTGTTTTTGCAGGGCGTAATAAAAAGTTGGCTCTGAACCAACAAAAGAATGGTTCGCGGCTACATTGTACGCTCTGTTGAAACTAAACTGGTGAGATACCATTGCAATCAGTTATGGCGAAAAAAAGAGAAGTGTATGAAATAAAATAGTTCTTGTTATTTCGCCGTGGGTTTGTGGTGCGTGTGCCCTTGGGCAAAGCACTTAATTTGCCACTCATTTTGCCCACCCAGGATTTTTTTTGTAGCGGGGGCAAAGCAAATTAATTGTCCCCCAAAATCCTTGTATTCTCTCTAGCATATTCCCAATTGATCATGTTGTTTTTGGGTGGGCGGGGGACATTTGCCCACCCAACCCCCAGTGACACCCCTGCAGACGCCCATTTTGTTAAATGTGTATTAAACCAATAGCAAATATGACTTAAACTAGGCAGGAGGCACATGTCGTGCAATGTTTAGAATTCTGAAAGAAACGAATTGAGAAAAAAACCTCTTCCATGCAGGCACAGATGAAGTCGCACAGAAAAATGAAGGATTATGGGGTATATTGCAAAAGTGACATTTTAGTGTTTGAATCCACATGTACATAGTACTATATAAACACATGCACTGGGTTCAAAACTACATGTAGTGATGAAAGTTTGCCAATTTATTCCCGCAATAAACAAATGAGATGCTGAAGATTATAGTCTGCCACATAAGTGTTCATTCTAAGATACAAAGATGTACGTGTAGATGATAACAATCAGACTAACATTGCATGCAAGCCAATATGGATGATAGGCCGCCAATATGAATCTTTGTGATATTTCTGTATTCATAACTGAACTTGGATTATCAGGAAAAGTACACTTGTTTTCTCCCTTCACAGTAATCATATATGATAAGAAGTTAAGCTACGCTTTCATTTCATTTACTATTCCGTATTTTGTATTTTGAGTTGCATATTCGAAACTGATATTGTTAAGTGATTTAGCGAGAACCACTTAAATAATTGCGACTTTAACTTTGATTGTGAAGGTACCCAGGACTAGAATAATGATGAAATCAATGTAAAAGGACAAATTGTTGTTTAAAGTACCCCAAAAAGTTATGTAGGACGACAGTTATGGCCAAATCAGTATGAAAATCATATAATTAGTGGCCATTTTGAATTTATGCAAATTAGGCATATTTCCACCACTTCGATTTTTTTTTTACTTTTTTTTTCGGGACCATATAAAGATGCTCTGTGGTGTGATACATAACTAAACTATAAGTTATTAGAACAAATTCAATTGTGGCATGTCCACACATGACAGCCATAATTTTAATTTTATTTATATGCAAATTAATATACGGCATTTATGCAAATTATTATACGGCATTTGGCAAAGTTGGGAAACATAGGGATCTAGAAGGGTACCCAGGACTAGAATAATGATGAAATCAATGTAAAAGGACAAATTGTTGTTTAAAGTACCCCAAAAAGCAATGTAGGACGAGAGTTATGGCCA